CAGGTATCCCAAAATGAGATTTTTAATTTGATTTATTTTTGTTTTATTCTGATCAATTGTGGGCATGAAGGTTGCTGAATTGTATTTCCAAATTCAATAAACCCAGGGCCAGCCCGCCCATAGGTCTCAGTGGAGCCATGTCCAGGCAGCACTTTCACAGGGGCGGCATTTTGCCACCCCGGTACACTCTAACAAACCTGCTGTAAGGGGCCAGGACTGCCTATCAATTACCGCTTATAGATATATGTGGTTCCGGGCCCCTGCAACCTTGGCTAATGAAGAAAAGGCCCAGAAATCTTCCCCTCCAGCAGCAGTAGGTACTGTCGTCTCCTTTCGCAAGCCGTGGGTTACCATGGCAACCATCAGCAGCATTCTTGCGGCTTCAGGGAGGGGAGAACAACACCTGCTGCTGCTGCTGGGGGAAAGATTAGACTTCTAGGCCCCTCTTCACGATCCTCCAGCTCCACTGAGCCACCGCACCACCAATGAATCTAGTATTCCCCCTCTCTGCCCACTGGTAAGAGTTGGGAAGGGGGGAATAAACATATTTATAAATTTTTAAAAAATGTTTTTTTTAAAAAACACAACACACACTACATCAACTACATACAATGCATCACTACACACACTGACACTGCATCCACTACACACACTGCATACAATAAACACACTGCATTCACTACACACACTGCACAATGTCTTTGGCCGGCCCTGAATATACCTTTGTCTACAGATGGCTTCACTTTTTTTGCATTGTAAAGCAATGAAAAATTAAATTTAGCCCTTTCAGCCCCATTTATTGTCACCTTTGCTCCTGTGCTGGCGATCTCTCTTCAGAGAAGTTACTTTCTATGCCAGGACTCCTTTCTTTCGCTCTTGATCTCTGCAGAAATGACTGTGACTGCCAGTCCTCTCCCCTTTCCCATAGTCGTCAGCGAACATTGTAGATTAGATTTCATCACTTGTATTATAGTAATAATCCCCTATATTAAAAGTATTAAACATATCTATTTCTTTTTGGCTAAAAAAAACAAAAAACCACAGGCATTATTTCAACCTTTATTTAAGTCGCTTTTTTATTATTATTTTTTTTTTCTGAAGCGGCATTATCAAAGTATTTAAAAAAAATTTGTTTTTAAAGCATTACTCATAATGGGTGTCTAGTTATAGACTGGGAGCGTTGGCCTATGCTTTCAGCCTCTTAGTGCGTCTCAACCAAATGCTTCCAACTCCAGAGGAGAAGAATGTGGAGTGGTGCCTGGGGACTTCACTTAAGTGTTGGAAAACATTGTTAAACCAAAATCACTTCATGGCAAATAAAATATATTGTTGCCCAGAGTCCACGGACACCTTCATACATTTATATTATATTTAAAGGTAGGAAGGTGTCAGTGGACTCTTGGCACCATAGCATATGGAGTGTCCTTTAAGATATTGGTTTAAAATCAAAAATATGAGAATAGGAGTGGAAGAGGTAGGAGAGATCTAGAACGTGTATATTATTTGTTATAATAGTCTGTTACAATGTAGTGCAAAATACTGTGGGTATGATTTAATTCTTCATGAATAAAACTGTTTATATGGTTAGACAAGGCCAGTTGTGCAGGGCTCTTAAATGCAAATGATATATTTTTTTCTTCTGTTTTGCCAAGGGCTGAGGTTTAACCGTAAAAAAACATTTGCAATCCTTAAAACTAATTTTTTTTTCAGGTGCAGCTCCAATAGTATATTTATCAGATGAAACCCATACTCTTCTGGCAGTGAAGTTTTGGACGGATCTTGGGACGCTTGCATTGGAAGAGATCACTAAGCCAAATTCAGTTATTGCTGCTAGCAATCTACGCTGGAGATCAGAATGTATATCTGGCGTTCCCACACTGTATGCTGGAGATTTATCCACTATCTCATCAAATCCTAAAGAGTCACATCTTCAAAAAAGTTTCCAGAACCTTAAACAGTCAATCCAGGTAAAGCTTCTGGTGAGAAGTTGTAATGACATGTGAATGACAACATTTTTAGAGACTTTTAAAAAGTACAATCCAGGCTGGAGATGGCCCTGTTTACTACCGTATGGAGATATTGCATTGAAAAGAAGCAAGAAAGAAAGTCAGAAACCATTCTAGTGCTTTTTCCTGCTTTGCTGCATATTTGCAGCTTCTGCATGGGCCAGAAACATCTCATCACTAATCCTTGTACTCATGTTGGTTTCAGTAGGAACACTGTGCATATCTTCTGTTCATTGAAAGACATGAAAAGTTGCAACAACTATTAACTTACTGGATAGCTTCAGTCATGGCCTTTCATGAATGAAACTATTGGAAGCAGAAGTTGCAACGACAGTTAAAATGTGTATGAGCTGTGGGATGCACAGCTTTCACCTCGGATGTGTGGGATCATTTTACAGCTGTGGCGATTGTATGAAAATTATGTCATAAGTTGTGCTAGCCCAGGATTAGTAAAGAGAAATGGACCCAAAAGGTGCACTCAAGTAAATATAGTGGTGGTCCCTGATCCATATGGACCACTGCTTTCTTAAGCATCACTTTTGGTCAGGTTTTGGCTTCATTCTCTTGCAATGTTTGTGAAGGCTGTCTGCGTAAGAACTCACTACTTTCAGCCACATGCCTTCTTTTCACAAGGCAACTTACTTATTAGATGTATTCTGGGAAATTGCTCAGACAATGAGAGAGCAATGTGAACTGAGCTGCTAACTTGAGTCCTCCATGGTCAAACAATGTCCTCTTATTATCTGTATAGTATTTCAAAGCTGTGCTAAGGGGGATGGCTACAAATAAGAAGAGGACCGCTCCCTATACATAATCAAAATACATCTAATAAGGAAGTTGCTTTGTAAAAAGTAGGAACATAGCTAAATAAGACATGGTTAGGCTGCAGAAATGTAATTTAAAAAGAGAGAGAGGAAAAAAAAAACACTGAGACGATTATCTCTTAAATTCACTGTTATGTTGGTCCCTGGAGTGTGAATGGAGTGTCCTTTTAAATATATTTTAAGTGCAAAAATCTGATTTGTGATCATATAATGGTCAATATGACTAGTTTTGCAGAAGGCAGAGCTTTTCTCACGATAAAACTAGATGTGAACCTGATATTTAAAGGGACATTATGGTCACCAGAACCACTACAGCTTAATGTACTCAATACACTGCAGTCTTAGCACTGTAAACATAGTGAACAGGCAGTGTTTGCCTTACTGCCTAGTAACATCTCTAGTGCCAGTAACTCGGACGGCCACTAGAGGTGCTTCCTGGTAAAATGCTCCCCCATAGAGATGCAGTGATTCAGTGCATCTCTCTGAGGAGATGCAGATTGGCACAGCATGGTGTTTTCTAGTACATGTGCAATAGCTTCCCAGTGCTTTAATGTGGGAAAGCATTAGAATGGATGAGATCATCAAGATTGATAATCTCACCCATGGAGGTTTTGGCCATCCCCGGCAAGTGAGAAAAGGTAAGTAAAACAACCTTTTTTAACTCCACAAATAGGGGGGGCAGGAACTTAAACAACTAGTTTAACATTATAGTGTTAGGCATACATGTTCACTGTTGTGTAAACCGTGCATTGCATTATCTGGTTAGGTTGTACCATAATTTGCCCCTTTTTGCCTTACAGTGTCTTGAAAGGTTTCACAATGAAGCTGTCCTCAAACTACTAAAATTGTTGCAAGTGAGTAATCTGCAGGACAAAAGATCACTAATCGATTACACGAAAGAGCCTCGTACTCCCACCTGGAAAGAGATTACTGCAGCCAACCAGTGTCTTGTAAGTAGAATTTTTATTTGTCCTGCTTTTGTTGTACCATATGTGTTTTATATCTGTTCACATATTAATTTTATTAGTAATTTAATATTGCCCTTTTACCATGGTTGTCTTTCTGCTTTGTTTCCAGATTGGTAAGGGTTGATTCCCAATACTTCTATAGCTGGAAGAATATATTACCCATATATAACCCCAATATTGTTTTGATTTTGTCTGTATTTATTGATGATTCAGAACATTTCACAATAGTCATGTGGAATAAACATTTTGCTGACCACATGCTAGTTAGAGCCTGTTTGATGTAGATAGTTATTCCACTAATAAGATAATATATCAAATAATTTTAAGGACTCGTTTTGCTATCTGGAGACGTTCACTAAAATGACAAAAAGTAGGTCAACAAATGTGTTTGCTTGTAATAATACAGTGCAATTGTTTTTATTAGAATGTTAAAAAGTCATTATTTTTTATTTAAACGTCCAATAATTATTTTTTACTTGATTAACCAATTGTAAGGGTTAAGTCTCAGTATTCGTATGGCAAAGCAATAAGTCTGCCAGTGTTGTTATGGCACAATGCCAACGGCTTATTCATAGAATTCTCTGTGGGCTACATGCTGGTCATAAAGTTACTCTGCATTTCTTAACCATCTAAGTGCCTGACGTGATTGCAAGTTAATGTGATTAATCCTTTTCTCACCATCAGGGTTATTCACTAAAGGGAATTCAAAGTGAATTTCACATTTAAGGTCAAAATAGCCAAACTGGGAAAATTCTGTTCGTCATCCATGATTGCAGTTTTGCTGCTTTGGCCTTAAATGTGAAATTCACTTTGAATTCCCACTTTAGTAAATACCCCACCTAGCCTGTTCATAGTGTGGCAGACTGGGGCCACTGTAGAGGATTTGAATGTTCCTTTGCTCCACCTGCCAATATGGCGCCGGGCATGAGTAGAGCGAGTAGAGAAAGGGCAGGAAGTCAAGCCCCTCTCCCACTCAGTTGCGCTGAAGTGAGTGAGAGAGGAAGCCACTCGCTCCTTAGTATGACCTAGTATTTGTTGTAATGTATACATTTACTGACAGTTTTGCTACCACAATTTTTCTACTCGTGGACTAACTGCTGTACTTTTAACATCAGTGACAATATATAAAGAGTATTCTGTATTTTTTGGTTTTCTTATAGACTCCTATAAATAACAAAGGAAAAAAACTAATGGATTATGTACCTACCCCTGACGTGAAGCCTCCTCTTACTGCCTGTAGACTTGAAACTGACCCAAAGGCGTGCAAACAGCTCAGAGGTTTGGATTTCCTTAGTCGGGTACCTTCCCCTCCACCAGTGACTCCAATCCGGTCGCTTGTATCCCCACGCTTACAGAGAGCATTTCGCCCTCCGCGGAGCAGCAGTGCTCAGAAAGAAAGCACACAAGTAACGGGGCACAATGAAAACCGTTCCAAAAGCACACCTAGAGACATTAAAAGCTCGACAGACACAGAAGGGTTTATTGCAGATGAAGAACTTGCTCTGATAGATACACAAGCCCTTGTTTCAGGTATAGGAGACGAAAAAGCAGACACTCGTTTAAGTGCGTCTGAAAATGGCCACAAACCAGGACAAGATTCCCCAACACATACTTCACAAGCAGAAACAGCCGACATGTTACAAAGTGTCAGTCCTGAAATGAACAATCTCAGTCAGACTGTGGAGAAAGATGCGCTTTTATTAGGCAAAAAAAAACTGCAGAGGAAAAGAAAACGAAGATTATAGAACGAATGGTTAATATAAAATGTTCAAATATGTTAATATGTAAAGTTTAATAAAAAATTGTAAATATTTGGAATTATACCACTAACAATTTAACTGGTTCGCTTTATTCCTGGTAAATACAACAAGGGATTAGGTAAACAACAAAAAGTAAATGTTTATCTATGTGGGCATAGACAACCGTACTCCTAAAATTTCACGGAAATCTGCGACACCTGGAACACAGCACCTGCCCTGATTACTGATGATTATACCAATAGATATAGCAGTTTGGGGAGAGAGACACACACACTCTTTCTCTATAATTGAATATAAAGCAAGGGATAACAGCTGTTTTGTTACATGAGCTGACAAGCTGTTCTTGTGAAGTGGAAATTAGCATTTTCATCCATCGTTTATTACAAATAGAATAAAAGGATCAAGGTCTTTATAACCAGGTAAACAAAGCTGACATTCATATAAAATATAGCTAAATCTTATTATTTATACAGTGCAAAATATCAACACCTCGAAATGTCTAACTCTTCATACATAACATTGAAACCGTATTCATATAAAACAAATCTATAGGTAAAAGTTTAAAAATTATAAAGCAATATATACACATTTAGTAGTTTTGTCTATAAAAGAAAGTGACATTGGAATTTTGTATAAGTGCATAGCCATAAAAGTATAGCACAATGGCAATAGTTAAAAATGATGTCCATGCAAATGTATCAATGAATGTTATGTTCAGATTAAACATTTTATCCAGCACCTCTATGCCAATCTCATAGAGGCATAACATCAAAATTAGGTCACCACAGACATGCAATCATTTGTGCTCACACAGCGTTCAGACCAGAATCTCACACTGCTTATAACAATATACAGGTGATACTCGAAAAATTAGAATATTGTGCGAAAGTTCATTTATTTCAGTAATGCAACGTAAAAGGGGAAACTAATATAGATGCATTACATGCAAAGCAAGATAGTTCAAGCCATGATTTGTCATAAGTGCAATGATTATGGCTTACAGCTCATGAAAACCCCAAATCCACAATCTCAGTAAATTAGAATATTGTGAAAAGGTGCAATATTCTAGGCTCACAGTGTCCCACTCTAATCAGCTAAGTAAGCCATAACACCTGCAAAGGGTTTCTGAGCCTTTAAATGGTCTCTCAGTCTGGTTCAGTAGGAATCACAATCATGGGGAAGACTGCTGACCTGACAGTTGTGCAGAAAACCATAATTGACACCCTCCATAAGGAGGGAAAGCCTCAAAAGGTAATTGCGAAGGAAGTTGGATGTTCCCAAAGTGCTGTATCAAAGCACATTAATAGAAAGTAATGTGGAAGGGGAAAGTGTGGAAGAAAAAGGTGCACAAGCAGCAGAGATGACCACAGCCTGGAGACTATTGTTAGGAAAAGGCCATTCAAAAGAGTTGGGGGCTTTCACAAGGAGTGGACTGAGGCTGGGAGTCAGTGCATCAAGAGCCTGGACATGGGCTTCAGATGTCGTATTCCTCTTGTCAAGCCGCTCCTGAACAACAAACAACGTCAGAAGCGTCTTACCTGGGCTAAAGGAAAAACAGACCTGATCTGTTGCTCAGTGGTCCAAAGTCCTCTTTTCTGATGAGAGCAACTTTTGCATCTCATTTGGAAACCAAGGACCCAGAGTCTGGAGGAAGAATGGAGAGGCACACACTGCAAGATGCTTGAAGTCCAGTGTGAAGTTTACCCAGTCTGTGTTGATTTGGGGAGCCATGTCATCTGCTGGTGTTGGTCCACTGTGCTTCATTAAGTCCAGGGTCAACGCAGCAGTCTACCAGGAGATTTTGGAGTACGTCATGCTTCCTTCCGCAGACGAGCTTTATGGGGATGCTGACTTCATTTTCCAGCAGGATTTGGCACCTGCCCACACTGCCAAAAGGACCAAAGCCTGGTTCAATGAACATGGTATTACTGTGCTTGATTGGCCAGCAAACTCGCCTTGGCATTGCCAAGAGAAAGATTAGAGACATGAGACCGAACAATGCAGAAGAGCTGAAGGCCGCTATTGAAGCATCCCGGTCTTCCATAACACCTCACCAGTGCCACACGCTGATAGCTTCCATGCCATGCCGCATTGAGGCAGTAATTGCTGCAAAAGTGGCCCAAACCAAGTACTGAGTCCATATGCATGCTTATACTTTTCAGAAGTCCGATATTGTTCTATGTACACTCCTTGTTTTATTGATTACATGTAATATTCTAATTTACTGAGATTGTGGATTTGGGGTTTTCATGAGCTGTAAGCCATAATCATCGCACTTATGACAAATCACGGCTTGAACTATCTTGCTTTGCATGTAATGCATCTATCTCATATATTAGTTTCCCCTTTTACGTTGCATTACTGAAATAAATGAACTTTTGCACGATATTCTAATTTTTCGAGTATCACCTGTATGCTGCTACCCTTAATAATGTAAGTGCAGGGAGGTGCCCTCTGGCCCAGCACCCACATGGAAGCATGCCTTACGTAGGTATAGCATTTAACCTGTACATTTGCTAGTCACTTCTCTAGCAAATGGTAATGACTATATTTAAAGCGGAACTGTCACTTGTCTGAAGATTCACCAGCACTCACCAGACCTTATTTGAGGGGGTGAAGCAACTCCCGTTTGCAAAACTGACTAATGGTCCAAATTGGAAAACTTATAAGATAATCATGATAACTTGACAAAGGTTCAGTGTAGAGTACATATGTTGCTTGTATGAGGGATCTCTGAAATAAAATTGAACACTGGATGTTCATTTTTTTTTAGTTTGGAATTGATTGGTTCAACACCAGTAGACTTAGAGGGACCCTCCAGACACCTAATGCACTTTAGCTTGCTCAAGTGGTTTATGTGCAAAGAGTGTCTTTTTTCATTTTACAAAAAGTGCAGATTGCTATAGAAATTACATGTTTTTAAATTAACATTGTTATATCCCCATGTCTGTCAATCAGACAACAGGTCCTCTTACTTCTGGTTTGGTTGGGTAAGTGGAGCTACACCCAAGAGGCAACAATTGCCCAGAGTACCAGACTTGCAAAGACGTCTCTTTGAGCTGCACTGGAAAGTCTGTTATTGGGCAGCCACAGAAAGTCTGGGCGGGATTAGATGGGGAGGGCTTGCAAAAGCTGCAGATCTGTCTGAAGCTTTTGCAGACCTTCCCTGTCTTCCCTAGCCCAGATTTTCTGTGTATCCAATCACAGACTTCCCATTGCAGCTCAATGAGAAGTCTTTACAAGGCAGATGCTCTGCAAAACTACCTGCCACTTGAGTTTAGCTCCACTAAACTAAGCAACCATGAAGTGTAACAGGGTTATTTATAAAAGTGTGATTTGTATTGCAATCTGCACTCTTTGAAAATTAAAAAACAATGACACACTTCATGCATTTTTGCAAGCTAATGTGCTTTAGGGGTCTAGGGTGGGTTTTAAGGATTAAGAATGCATTGAAGGTAAAACGAAACCTAGTTATCTCAAGTGCTTCTACAGCCAAGCCACAGAGCCTCGGGTGCTCTCCATCCAAAGAAGCAGATACAGTGCAAAAAGTGCATGTGCGCTTATGCATTCCTTCAGTAGAGATGTATGTACATGCATTAATTTAATTAGGAGCTGACAATTCCTTGTTCCTTTACCCTATTAAGCAATATGAGTGTTTACTGGAGTTAAATGCAGCAGAAGTAAAAAAAAACAAAAAAACTTCCACTGCACCTCCATGTTGTGGCATCTTCGCCATCCCATGATGCTGTGGTCACGCACATGCATGCTCAGGCATCTATATGCACATATGAATGCTTGGAATTTTCTCTAGTAGTAACCACAGTACCACACTGGCTTTGCATATCAGTTCCAGTTTAAAAAACATTTAATTACATAAATAATAAGACTAACATATTAGCCAGCAGTGGTCTATAACAACTGACTACTTTTTAACAAATATGTTGGTCTAATGTAAACCTGGTGGCAATACTAAGTTTGCAGTTTGAGATGCAAAAGACGCAGGCTAAATTGGCTAAAAGCAAGTCTGTATTAGTGAAGTAAAACCTCTGTAAATGTAACCCTCATGAAATGTACAATGGATTTTGATACATGAAACTTATTGTGGTCCTAGATCAAGGGTTGGCAACCTTCAGCACTGCAGATTTTGTGGACTACATTTCCCATAATGCTCTTACAGCCAGGATGCTGGCAAAGCATCAGGGGAGATGCGTTCCACAATATTTGGAGTGCTGAAGGTTGCGTACCCCTGTCCTAGTGTGTTCCTGCTTCTAAGCTCCAGGTATCTGTGTACACCTGTGTATATAAAATAGCATCATATGAAAAAGCTGTGTTTTGGTCCTGACTTGGGAAGAGCTCACACGAATCCCTCTCAGACTTATCTATTGTTCCGGCTTGGCTTCTCGGAATGTAGAACTGTGTGAAAAGTAACACTGTGGTCGTACACTTCTTTCATGCGCTGAATCTTTTCTCTTGGAACGCCATGGCTATTCCTTCTAAACCGCCAAAGAAAACAAAATGTATATACTATTATAGTTCATTGAACTTGGAAATGTAGATTTTTATTTTTTTCTTGGCGTGGCCAACTAAGCATCATGGGAATATTATACAGAGAGCATATTTAAAGCGGCTCTGTCACCGTCTGAGGTCTTTGCAGATTATTGCAAATGCAAGAGTACAACACTGACATCTATGAAGGATCTCGGGAGTGCCTCCAAAGATATTGCATCTTGACAATAATCTAAGACTGGATCCTGTGACAGATGGTACACTGCCTTTGTTCTTCGAACAGATATTTTATAATTTAATTTTTTCATTTTATCTCCACCTAAAAGGCACAAACAGAGGCAGTCCAAGCCCCAATGCCCTATAAGGGCCCCTCATGCTTCATGTTTCCCCTTAAAAATGTGGCATATTGAGACACAGCTTAGACTTGAAACATACTTTCTTTTTTTTAAAGACTGTGAAAGAAAACAGCAGATTTCTTATCATAAAATCTTAGCAAAAGCAACCATGTAAGCTAGGCAATTGAGTTTGATCCACTACTTACCTTGTCAATTCTCTTACATTGAACTTCCAACTTGTTTCAGGCTCACGGAATAAAACTTGATATTCGTGTTCAAGTGCCTATTTTAAAGGCAAACAAAAATTGTATGAACATCTTCATTTAGACATTTTGTTTTATACTACAAAACTGTGCCAGCCCTTGGACACATAAAAAAGACAGCATATTTACAGGTATACGATTACTTTTATCCTTTGTGGAAATATTGGAACGCTATAGAGGAGTAGTTATGATCTAGTAGTTTCTGAAAAATTCTGAGAGATAGCGAATGTTTTGATCAGCAGGACAAAATCACATTTATAATATATAATAATTTTGACTCTCTGTAATCATCCAAATATCCAGAATATAATTTTTTTTTAATAAGTCCTCTGCATTTACAGATAAACTTACATAAATGTAAAATGTGAATTAATGTGTGAAAATCCCTACAATACAGTGTGCATAGAATGTATATGTTATAGCAGGGGTAGGCAACCTTCCGCACTCCAGATGTTGTGGACTACATCTCCCATAATGCTCTTACAGCTATGATGCTGGCAAAGCATCAGGGGAGATCTGGTCATCAACATCCGGAGTGCCAAAGGCTGCCTTTCCCTGTGCTACAGCCTCACGAAATAGCACATTGCTGTTGTCTGTGCAATTTGCCTGCTGTAGACAAAGACCTAATTTGTAGGTTGAAACAATGCTGCTGATTCTTGTAAATCTGCACTGATCTTCATTAAACCTGCCAGATTGTCATCCTGGAGTGCCTGGGCTACTTCTCTAACTCTACGGAATGAAAGTGGTGACATTTATGCTGGATTTTAGGTCAGGTCAGTAAAAATTCACCCACGGAGAGTATGCTATTTCTCCTCCAGGATTGCGGTGGCTAGTAAGTGTTAAGGCCTGGATAATAGTGTAGTGCCTGGTGTATCACTCCGCTCTGTATTGTTGGTAGTACATTCATACCAAATTGGTTTGTTGATGGCAAACAGTCTCCCGTGGTGCTATTAAATGTATTTCTACTTTGATGAAGTACTTCTTCTCTATGAGAAGGCCTTACTTTAACAATGGTATTCCAATATATGTGAAAGGTGGTAATGACAAGACTGCCCCCCAAAATACCTCACTTTTTTAACACAAAGTATAATACAAACTTGTTTATTTTTACTAAAACTTACCATGACTGCGTATGGCTTCATTTCCCATGCTTGAATATTGGTATTATCTATAATAATAGGTGTCTTTCCTTTGTTCATTGCTTTACGTGCTGTTAATAGAGAAAATGTTGTCTTTGTGATTTCTGTGCCAAAACAGGTTTCGATAAGTCAGGCAAGAAAGGGAACTAGCAGCAACACAGGTAAGCACTTAGGGGAGGACTGGGCCATTGGCAATATGTATATATATAGAGAGAGATTTGTTACCACTCCCCTCTCTCCCCCTTGCCCCCCACTCACGTCACCTCCATTCTACCAACACATCCCACTCTCCTTTCCCATTAAAATGTCGAAATACAACGCTTACTCCCACCCTCCCCCGGTGACACAAACTGCAAGGAGAATAGACTATCTCCAACAGCCCAAGGGTCACTCATTCGAGCCAGTTCGCGAACCGCAACCTCTCCATATGTTTTTCCCGGTGAACAGAAGATCGCTACACGGTGAGCTGCAAAGGAGAATTCGCCGAGCAGCTCATATTTACATTTCCTGTGGTTATTAATATAGTTACATATACTTATATTTAACAAATATGTATTAATGAGGTGTGAAAATGAAAAATAACTGAAGAAATCCACACCTCTTTATTCTGCAACTAGGCACCTCCGTCTTGGCTCCCTATCAATCTTTAGTAAGAGCTGTGATTTACACCTGGCTGTCAGCATACAGAGAAGAGGAGGCACTAAATGTTTCTATTCCTCCGTTCTCAGCAATCCAATGCTTTCTTATGGGAAAGCGTTGTGATTGGCTGAGCTCATCAATTCTGATGACAAGGTAAACCGGGGGCGGGGCCAGGGTCGGCAGACTCACGAGGTGCTTAGAAATAAGGTTAGTTTTGTTATTTAAGGGGGCAGCAGGGACCCTACATGTGTTTTTAACACTATAGGGTCAGGAATAAGTTTTTGTAAAATTGTCTGTTTTGCTGCTCGACACAGTTTACAGAATTTTTTTATCTTAAGTACATGGAGAACCATATTGATTTTAAGTGTGCCTTCTCATTTCCTAAATAGGTTGTATTGGAATAAATGATTGTTGTACACACACAGATAAGAGGGGGAACAGGGACCTAAACATGTTTGTATCACTAACACTTAGTGTTCCTTTAAAGATTTGGATCATCTAATTTGGTCCTGTACTGTATGTTGGGTGATGTGATAAACTGAACTGTATATATTGCCTCCAAAAAATAAATATATATATATATATATATTATATGGAGAGAGAGCACAGTTTGATTGACACTTAATCAAAAATCATGCTATCTTGGAGTTCATCTATTTGTTTATTCTATTATTAATTTTCCCATAATTCAGTCTTTACTGTATACATGTACAGACACGCTGCTTTACATATGTATTCACAACCCCATAGATACGTGTACAGACACACTGCTTTATATATGTATTCACACCCCCATAGATACGTGTACAGACACACTGCTTTATATGTATATTCACAACCCCATAGATACGTGTACAGACACACTGCTTTATATATGTATTCACACCCCCATAGATACGTGTACAGACACACTGCTTTACATATGTATTCACAACCCCATAGATACGTGTACAGACACACTGCTTTATATATGTATTCACAACCCCCATAGATACGTGTACAGACACACTGCTTTACATATGTATTCACAACCCCATAGATACGTGTACAGACACACTGCTTTATATATGTATTCACAACCCCCATAGATACGTGTACAGACACACTGCTTTACATATGTATTCACAACCCCATGGATATGTGTGCAGACACACTGCTTTATATATGTATTCACAACCCCATAGATACGTGTACAGACACACTGCTTTACATATGTATTCACAACCCCATAGATACGTGTACAGACACACTGCTTTATATATGTATTCACAACCCCCATAGATACGTGTACAGACACACTGCTTTACATATGTATTCACAACCCCATGGATATGTGTGCAGACACACTGCTTTATATATGTATTCACAACCCCATAGATACGTGTACAGACACACTGCTTTATATATGTATTTACAACCCCATGGATATGTGTGCAGACACACTGCTTTATATATGTATTCACAACCCCATAGATACGTGTACAGACACACTGCTTTATATATGTATTCACACCCCCATAGATACGTGTACAGACACACTGCTTTACATATGTATTCACAACCCCATGGATATGTGTGCAGACACACTGCTTTATATATGTATTCACAACCCCATAGATACGTGTACAGACACACTGCTTTATATATGTATTTACAACCCCATGGATATGTGTGCAGACACACTGCTTTACATATGTATTCACAACCCCATAGATACGTGTACAGACACACTGCTTTATATATGTATTCACAACCCCCATAGATACGTGTACAGACACACTGCTTTACATATGTATTCACAACCCCATGGATATGTGTGCAGACACACTGCTTTATATATGTATTCACAACCCCATAGATACGTGTACAGACACACTGCTTTATATATGTATTTACAACCCCATGGATATGTGTGCAGACACACTGCTTTATATATGTATTCACAACCCCATAGATACGTGTACAGACACACTGCTTTATATATGTATTCACACCCCCATAGATACGTGTACAGACACACTGCTTTATATGTATATTCACAACCCCATAGATACGTGTACAGACACACTGCTTTATATATGTATTCACACCCCCATAGATACGTGTACAGACACACTGCTTTATATATGTATTCACACCCCCATAGATACGTGTACAGACACACTGCTTTATATATGTATTCACACCCCCATAGATACGTGTACAGACACACTGCTTTACATATGTATTCACAACCCCATGGATATGTGTGCAGACACACTGCCACATAGATACGTGTACAGACACACTGCTTTATATGTATATTCACAACCCCATAGATACGTGTACAGACACACTGCTTTATATATGTATTCACACCCCCATAGATACGTGTACAGACACACTGCTTTATATATGTATTCACACCCCCATAGATACGTGTACAGACACACTGCTTTACATATGTATTCACAACCCCATGGATATGTGTGCAGACACACTGCTTTATATATGTATTCACATAGATACGTGTACAGACACACTGCTTTATATGTATATTCACAACCCCATAGATACGTGTACAGACACACTGCTTTATATATGTATTCACAACCCACACTAGTATACAACCCCATAGATACTTCCATGTTGTCACACAAAGTGCGCAAATATCCAACCCCCAATTGCTATGAAATTCCTGAATCTGCCTTACCCTAATTAGAGAACTGGAGTCTACCTGAGTGCAGTCACACGCCTATAATAATGCAGGATTTTAAAATCCTTTATAATATTCATATTATTATTTGACTAGTTGTCTTATAGAGGGGGAGATTAAATAATTTCCAATGCTATATTGTATTTGTGTTCTAGACTTGTTGCCTGTCATACAAAGGCACTGTATTGAAAGGAAGTTGAACAGCTACACTACACACAAGAAAAGGTTAGTTGGGAAAGTTATACGTTATAAGTCGGGAAAATCACCTCGTTTCTGATTCCACCTGTGTGCTTCAGGCAATAAGTCATGGTCATACAGGTATGTTCCATCGTCCATAATGAAAAAGTCATCTGTGCTAAACACAAGAGCACTTGGAAATTCTCTGTTCAGTTTCCTGAAACATTATTTAAAAGAAGAATTTCATTAAAAGGATAGTTTATTTGGTTACTTACAGGCTAACCCTCTTAAGCACCATATTTAACGCTAACCTCACATTCTAGTCCTTAAAGACCCACAAGGCAGTTTAGATGTTCTGCCCCAACAGGATGTAGGACCTTTACAAACTAGTTTGTTAAAAAATAATAATTCTGTCATTGGCCATTAAGGAGTTAATTATGACACATTTCAGATCTTGTTTTTAGTAACCACAGAAACTAAGTGGAAATAAAGTGTGCGAGCTACAAAATTGTGTTTACACACACAAATATTGACAATAGCAATGAGGTTGTCACTGTGCCTAAAAAAGCATTGCCATTCTGCCTGGGGGGAAACGGACTGTATTCTGCTTCAGTTATTGTAACCACACTGATGTACGCTCTCCGTCACATCATACTTTAAATCAAATTTTATAATTAGCTTATAATTGATACATAGAAATTCTTAGGGTTACATCCTAAAACACATAAATAAGTATGGAAAATCCTCCTGACATTATTTTGCCTCCTCTGCATGTAGGCATGGTATTCGTAATGGAACAGGTTTAATAGATAGAGATTTCAAAGAGAAGTTCAACTGGATAGAAGTTTGGCATTTTTTTCATGGTGGTGATATATAAAAGGATAAAGCAGAACACCAAAGCAATGTTATGGCTGACAAGTATAGTAAAGATTATGCATATATATCAAGCTCACATTCTAGAGATCATCTGAAACTCTGCCACACAGGCAATAGTGATGCCTCTAGACAGGCTTCCATTAGAGGCACTTCCTGTTGTGGTACTGCAATCTTTGCAGGACCGATGTTTGACGTCTTCATGTGCTGATTGGCACAAAGGGGCAATAAGTACACATGTGCAGTAACCTCCAATCATTGCATACACTGAGATCATAATCACTGATGTCAGCTGTGTTGGAGGAAAAGGGGCAGGTCCACCCTATTAACTGGCAGGTCAGCCTGGTGTGAAGGCATGCAGGGTGGAACATGCCAGGAGCACTGTTTCAGAGGTCTATGCAAGGTCCTGGTTCCCTGAACATGATGTGTCTAGTGATGTGCTCACACTGTGTTGAGGACTAAAGTGGGACACCAAGGAAGTAAATCAGGAATGCGGGACAGAAGCTGATGTTTGGGAGGCCTGCATTTGCAGCTGCAGTATAGTGTCTGCAGTGAAGCCAACATGTTTGCATCATCGCTGAGGATTGCCCTACTTGGCAGGACTGAGTGGTGAGTGTTACAACACTGTAAACTCACAGACCGCTAGGGATAGTGACATTGGATTGAGGGGTACAAGATACGTACAACAATAACCGCTTCAAAAGCAAGCAAAAAAAAAACCGCTAGCCCCGCCCCCGATTCACCTCCTTGGTGACATGATCAGAATTTCCATTTTTAGTCAATCCAATGCTTTCCCATATGGAAAGCATGGGATTGGCTGAAATCAGCAAGTAGGTGGGATGGGGCGGGGCCAAACACTGTTTTGGGCAATCAGCACCTCCTCATAGAGGTTCATTGAGAAGCTGAATGGCAGTGATGCCTACTATACAGTACTGCCCCAGGATGCACCTCCAGTGGCTATCTGAGGAGTGGCCACCTGGAGGTGTCCCTAGGGGAAATGTTTCTCTGAAAAGGCAGTGTTTGCATGAAAATGCCTGAAGACAATGATTATGCTCACCAGAACAACTACATTGTACATTGTACTGGTGACTATAGTGTCCCTTTAAAGTCAGGAATAGAAAATCAAAGGTGCATTTGCCGGGGGACAGGGGTCATCATGAGCATGCTATGCAGCCCCATACGCAGGAAACTGTGATGCACAGTGTGTTCTAACACCTTTCTATCCTGGCATTATGTTTTTCAGCAATTTGAGCACAGTAGCTCTTCTGTGTGATTGGACCAGATGCGCCAGCCTTCGCCCCTCACTTGCATCAATGAGCCTTGGGCACCCAAGACCCTGATGCCGGTTTACCTGTTGTACTTTCTTGCACAACATTTGATGGGTACTAAGCACTGAATAAAGTGAACACCCCACAAGACTTGGTGTTTTTGGAGATGCACTGACCCAGTTGTCTAGCAATCACTATTTGGCCCTTGTCAAAGTCACTCAGATCTTTTTGCTTGCCCCGTTTATTTCTACTTTCAACACATTAAATTCAAGAACTGACTGTTCATTTGCTGCCCAATATATACTACCCATTGACAGGTGCCATTGTAACAATATAATCAATGTTATTCACTTCACCTGTCAGTGGTTTTAATGTTGTGGCTGATCAGAGTAAATGCCCCCAATAACTTAAAAAGGACCCTATAATCACAATAACCAATTCAGCTTATTGCGGTAGTTATGGTGCAAGGGTAATGTCCCTGTAATGTTACGTTGCATATGATTAATTTGCCAAAATAGATCTTTAAAATGTGGCTTATTGCTTCACCTACATGCCCTGTCAGTCAAAGAGCCAGGGATTACTGGTCCAATACCAACTCATACCATTATGAGAGGGAATGTCAGTGTTGACATAGGGAAGCTTGCAGGTTCTGTTCTCTGGGAATGAATGCTTGCAAGTCCAAAAACTGTCCTGCGTTTGTGATTATTGGTGCTGTGAGCACCCAGCACTCTGTAAGAAGCATTTGATGGGACATCGATTGGAAAGGAGTGATTTCAGACAGGGAATGGAGAGTGGAGTAAGGAGCTTTGCCCAGGGCTAAATCTAATGTATGTTTTGCTTTCTTAAAAGGCTGCTCCAAACACTGCCCATTAGAGTGGTCATGGTGCCGGTAGTGTGAACGTGCAGCATTTTGCTCTGGCTGTGTCATTAGTCAGTCCGGAACAATAGGCCCGGGCCAGCTAATGTCAATTCTGTGCACATTTGACGTCTGACAGGCTTCCAATAGCAGCAGTGCCCCTCTCTTTTGCCCATTTTCTCCCCTTCCCGATATACCTCCACAACAACACTGGAGGAGGATCATGATGAAAGGAGAACTTGGAACGGTTCTGGAAAGCAACGTTTTTGTTTTATTTCATTTTTTTTTTTTTTGGGTCGGGGTGATGGACTAGCACTGCAGGAGTAACTAACCAAAAAAAGTGTTTTATGAAAGCACCGTTTTTGTTTGGAATAACTCTTTAATGTAAAGAGATACTCCAATTAACATATCAACGTTGACTGCTCACGTCTCTTCTGTTTCTGATTATGCAGTCCTAACCACACTTCCTAAAGTGCTCAATGTCAGCCTGAGAGGATTATATTGTCTTTGATTCTGAATACAAGATGTATCTGAATTTATTGTTCTGGTAAGTTGTAAATGCAAAAAATAAAAAATAAAAATAGAGACAAAATATACTAACATAGTACAGGTATATACGTTTAGGTGTTAGTTCCAAAGTACAGGCAATAAAATGTTATTTACAAATCTTTAAAAATAAAAAGACAGCTGTGCAAGCTGAAACTGAAGGTTAAAGAAAGAGTAAGCAAGTTCATATAAAAACAGGTTTAGGCTTATTTTTAAAATACTGTGACTTCGGAGGTTTTTTCATAATAGGTTCATAATAGGTTTTTCTGAAAAATAGGGGCTACTTTGCTTGTAAGCACACAAAAACAAACTGTAGTAAACAGCACATTTTTCAGAAAAGGGATTTTTGTAATTTATTGAAACTCGGGACTGAGTTATTCATATTTTTTAGCACAGGAGGCTTTAAATAATCTGTATAAACCCCCAAACCACGCCATTAGGAAGGTATGTTTCTGCAAGTGTAGTTAAACTAATCCCGATATATTGTTAAAACTTTCAATATTACGTCACTAGCAAAAAGACAAAAAAAAGTATTGAATCATGGATGCAGCACGGAAGTGTGTACCCATAATTCATAGTAATTCGTCACACTGTGCAAAGTGGGATTTAAACCTTGACCTGGCTGAGGAAATGACATTCAAGTAATGTAATGATGTATATTAAAAACTGCAGCTATGTATGTCCTTTAGAATTTTAGTTTGTCAAGTATAGGAAAATCTACACAGATGATTAAATGGTTACTCCGACCTCCATGACCACTACTGCTTTTAGAAGTGCTCATGGAACAAGGAATCTCTTATTTTTGATATGGGGGTTACAGACCCACTTTATAGCAGCACAGTCATGCTGAACTTACCTTTCCCCAATCGCTTCCTCTTCTCTCCCTCTCTCAGGATCTGTTTCTTTTTATTTTTTTAATCTGATTTAGTTTTCTTTAAAAATACGGACTACTTTGTCTTCTGTATTTTTCCAATGATTGACCATCTTTGACCCAAGGAGTAGCTTAAGTCATTTCCTGTGGTCAAATTTTTTTCCTCACAATACTCACCTCTTCTCCGTGATATCGCGTTGCTTCATTTGCCGTTCGAATGTCCTGTCATATAGAATTTTGTCCTAAAACAATGAGAAAAAAAAAAATGGTCTTTCAGCCTACTTTACTAACACTAAGTTAGTATACTCCAATAAAGTGCCCCATGGCACCTATTCAAATGTCCTCCTCCAGCCCTAACCCATAAACAGCGGTTGGGGGGCCCTAAGTGACAAAAAGGGCAACATATTGCAGCAAAAGGGCAACATATTGCCCCCCCCCCCCAGCTCCAATCCATCAGTGGCAGGTGGGGGTCCTATTGTCTCCCCCCTCTGATCCCCACCCATAAACGGTGGCTGGGGGCCCATCAGTGACAAAAGGGGGGACCTATTGTCTGCCCACCCACCCCACCCATGAGCAGCGGTTGGGGGCCCTTAGTGACAAAACCTACTGCCTCCCTCCCCCGGTCCCCACCTATGAACAGCGGGTGGGGGCCTATTGTTCACACCCCTGCCCTCACCCTTGAGCAGCAGTGACAAAAGGGTGAGGGGGAACCTTAAAGGACCACTATAGGCACCCAGACAACTTCAGCTTAATTAAGTGGTCTGGGTGCCAGGTCCATCTAGGTTTAACCCCTTTTGCTGTAAACATAGCAGTTTCAGAGAAACTGCTATGTTTACCTATGAGTTAATCCAGCCTCTAGTGGCTGTCTCATTGACAGCTGCTAGAGGCGCTTCTCACTGTGATTTTCACAGTGAGAAGACGACAGAGTCCATAGAAAAGCATTGAGAATGCTTTCCTATGGACTGGCTGAATGCACGCGCGGCTCTTGACGGCGAAAAGGAGGAGGAGAGTTTCCCGCACACACTCTCAGCCTCTGTATGGAGAAAACTAACACCCTCTGGACGTCAAGCTGTAGTGGACTACCAGGGCGTACCTAGAGCTTTTGGCATCCGGGGCGGATCCTACATTTGGCACCCCCTCCACTTTAAAATGTAAAAAACACCCGCAAAATATATGTATTCCCCAGCAGAATTTGGAATGTATATACAGGGTATGACTGCCCCCTGGTGCAATATCTGCTGATCTAATATTGGATATATCATCCCCTCCAGTGTGGTACCTAGCCAGGCTGGTCTAATACTGGGTATAGCTGCCCTCCAGTGTGGTACCTGACCAGGCTGGTTTAATACTGCGGCAAGACCAGCCCAATACTGGGTATATCTGCCCCCGGTGTGGTACCTGGCCAAGCTGGTCTATTACTGGGTATATTTGACCCCAGGTGTGTGGAACCTGGCCACACTGGTCTAATACTGGGTATATCTGCCCGCCGGTGTGGTACCTGGCCAGGCTGGTCTAATACTGGGTATATCTGCCCCCAGGTGTGTGGTACCTGGCCAGGCTGGTCTAATACTGGGTATATCTGCCCCCCGGTGTGGTACCTGGCCAGGCTGGTCTAATACTGGGTATATCTGCCCCCAGGTGAGGTACCTGGTCAGGCTGGTCTAATACTGGGTATATCTGCCCCACCCCGGTGTGGTACCTGGCCAGGCTGGTCTAATACTGGGTATATCTGCCCCCCCCTCCACTCCCCCGTGTGGTACCTGGCCAGGCTGGTCTAATACTGGGTATATCTGCCCCCCGGTGTGGTACCTGGCCAGGCTGGTCTAATACTGGGTATATCTGCCCCCCCGTGTGGTACCTGGCCAGGCTGATATAATACTGGGTATATCTGCCCCCCGGTGTGGTACCTGGCCAAGCTGGTCTAATACTGGGTATATCTGCCCCCCGGTGTGGTACCTGGCCAGGCTGGTCTAATACTGGGTATATCTGCCCTCCGGTGTGGTACCTGGCCAGGCTGGTCTAATACTGGGTATAGCTGCCCCCGGTGTGGTACCTGGCCAGGCTGGTCTGATACTGGGTATATCTGCCCTCCCCCCGGTGTGGTACCTGGCCAGGGTGGTCTAATACTGGGTATATCTGCCCCCCCGTGTGGTACCTGGCCAGGCTGGTATAATACTGGGTATATCTGCCCCCCGGTGTGGTACCTGGCCAGGCTGGTATAATACTGGGTATATCTGCCACCCCCCGGTGTGGTACCTGGCCAGGCTGGTCTAATACTGGGTATATCTGCCCCCCGGTGTGGTACCTGGCCAGGCTGGTCTAATACTGGGTATATCTGCCCCCAGGCTGGTCTAATACTGGGTATATCTGCCCCCGGTGTGGTACCTGGCTAGGCTGGTCTAATACTGGGTATATCTGCCCCCTGGTGTGGTACCTGGCCAGGCTGGTCTAATACTGGGTATATCTGCCCCCCGGTGTGGTACCTGGCTAGGCTGGTCTAATACTGGGTATATCTGCCCCCCGGTGTGTGGTACCTGGCCAGGCTGGTCTAATACTGGGTATATCTGCCCCCCGGTGTGGTACCTGGCCAGGCTGGTCTAATACTGGGTATATCTGCCCCCAGGCTGGTCTAATACTGGGTATATCTGCCCCCGGTGTGGTACCTGGCCAGGCTGGTCTAATACTGGGTATATCTGCCCCCTGGTGTGGTACCTGGCCAGGCTGGTCTAATACTGGGTATATCTGCCCCCCGGTGTGGTACCTGGCCAGGCTGGTCTAATACTGGGTATATCTGCCCCCCGGTGTGGTATCTGACCAGGCTGGTCTAATACTGGGTATAGCTGCCCTCCGGTGTGGTACCTGGCCAGGCTGGTCTTGCCGGAGCCGGGGAGCCCCCGCAGGAGGTAGATGTGTTTGTTGAACCTGGAATGGCGGGGAGGAGGGGGGGCTTGATGTTGGGGTGCGGGGGGTCTGTTATTGGGGCGCCGTCTGTACCCCGATCTGGGCGGACCATGTAGACTCAGGTTACCGAACGCCCCAACGAAGCGGTCCTCCTCCATCCTGCCCTGCCTGCAGCACGGCCTGCCCGGGGATGGGGCGGGATCCGGGGGAGGAGCGGGGCGGGTGTTGGGGTGTCTGGCAGGGACAGGGGTCAGGGTTTGTGGGCTGAGTTTGGGGAAGGTCCATCGAGAGTTGGCCGGGTGCAAAGCTGGGGCCTACTTCCCTCTCCCACCAGACTCCAGGGATAGGACTTTATCCCATCTTTATCATTCAATACACACATTACAAACATTACAAACATTTCCTCCTCTTCTAATGGAATAGTATTCGTGCCAATGGTTAGAAAGACTGGGCAGCTTTTTCTACTTGACAGAAATGTGTGTTTTGTTTTTTTTTCCATCTTTTTCTAGAAAAGTTAGCTGCCTACAATTCAAATGTCTGGAAAATGCTCAATTTACTGTGTGATGCTAAATTGTATTACCTGTGTATTGTTACACTGCATAGTGAGTAATATAGCATTCACATGGAACACCGTGGTCCCCAAGATACTACAATTCCACTCTGTTCTTAATATATTCTATTTGCATAAGTGAATAAAGTAATACTTGAAAAGCAGTAAATGTTATATATTAGCTCTGCACCTACATGCATTTCCTTCAGACATTATCCTTAAATTTCTACCATGCCATGCTCATTGAATTTACAAAAATTAGATCCATATCTATAACATTTTAGACAAGAACATCCTGTGCACACATATATTATGAAGCTGCATGTGAGCATGAGGTGATTACTGTGGGGTCACTTTGCTTTCCAGAAAGCAATGAATTTTGGCAAAATGGGATTGATACTGATATTTACTGCAAAAGGGGAACTTTTGCATCAGACATTGGAGAAGAGGAGACCGGACATATTTACTGAGAGGACCCAGGTAAATGTCAATACAAATGGTTTGACTACTTACTATAAGATCACACCTGGAATTAATGGCACCATAACCACTATAATGAGCTGTAGTGGTCATGGTGCCTAGACTGGCCCTGTAAAGCGGCTCTGTCACATCTGTGTATTTTGTGAAGAGATAATCTTTTTAAAATACTCATCCTGACTGCGTCTGCTACGCACTTCACAGATACCATAACACAAAGCAGGGACTACATTATCTTATGGTAGAGCATGAGGCTCACAAAAAGCAGAGCTCTAAGTGAAGAACCGGGAGCTGGTTTGCCAATTGTATTTGAGAAAGGTGTGTAAACAGAAAAATAACAGCAAGCCAGTGGGGAGGAGGGATTGATAGATTAAATGCCTGTATTAAAATATGCTAGTGGTATGTGGAAGAACCGAACAATTGGGAGAGGGAGCTGGGCTATGGAGATGAAGAAACGGACTTACAGGGAGTGCAGAATTATTAGGCAAGTTGTATTTTTGAGGATTAATTTTATTATTGAACAACAACCATGTTCTCAATGAACCCAAAAAACTCATTAATATCAAAGCTGAATATTTTTGGAAGTAGTTTTTAGTTTGTTTTTAGTTTTAGCTATGTTAGGGGGATATCTGTGTGTGCAGGTGACTATTACTGTGCATAATTATTAGGCAACTTAACAAAAAACAAATATATACCCATTTCAATTATTTATTATTACCAGTGAAACCAATATAACATCTCAACATTCACAAATATACATTTCTGACATTCAAAAACAAAACAAAAACAAATCAGTGACCAATATAGCCACCTTTCTTTGCAAGGACACTCAAAAGCCTGCCATCCATGGATTCTGTCAGTGTTTTGATCTGTTCACCATCAACATCAGCAGCAACCACAGCCTCCCAGACACTGTTCAGAGAGGTGTACTGTTTTCCCTCCTTGTAAATCTCACATTTGATGATGGACCACAGGTTCTCAATGGGGTTCAGATCAGGTGAACAAGGAGGCCATGTCATTAGATTTTCTTCTTTTATACCCTTTCTTGCCAGCCACGCTGTGGAGTACTTGGACGCGTGTGATGGAGCATTGTCCTGCATGAAAATCATGTTTTTCTTGAAGGATGCAGATTTCTTCCTGTACCACTGCTTGAAGAAGGTGTCTTCCAGGAACTGGCAGTAGGACTGGGAGTTGAGCTTGACTCCATCCTCAACCCGAAAAGGCCCCACAAGCTCATCTTTGATGATACCAGCCCAAACCAGTACTCCACGGTTTTTCCACACGCTTCTTGAGACCCTGTTGACTATTTTGAATGAAACGTTTGATTGTTCGATGATCACGCTTCAGAAGCTTTGCAATTTTAAGAGTGCTGCATCCCTCTGCAAGATATCTCACTATTTTTGACTTTTCTGAGCCTGTCAAGTCCTTCTTTTGACCCATTTTGCCAAAGGAAAGGAAGTTGCCTAATAATTATGCACACCTGATATAGGGTGTTGATGTCATTAGACCACACCCCTTCTCATTACAGAGATGCACATCACCTAATATGCTTAATTGGTAGTAGGCTTTCGAGCCTATACAGCTTGGAGTAAGACAACATGCATAAAGAGGATGATGTGGTCAAAATACTCATTTGCCTAATAATTCTGCACTCCCTGTATACAATTTTAATGAGTGTCAGCCGGGAAGATGGTATGATTTCCTTAAGAGGTGTGCGAGAACGGGCTGATGTTTAAAAAAAAAGGTCACTTGCAGAATGAACGGACCGAGAAGGGGTTATTTGTTACGTAAAGAGGAAATACAGCAAAGAGTAGAGTTATTAAAGGTTTTGTAGGTAAATGTTAGCAGTTTGAATTGGATCTTGAAGTGTTTAGAAAGCCAATGTAATGATTGTCAAAGGAGTGAGGTGTGGGAGTAGCAGTGAGTCAGAAGATGAGCCTGGCAGCGGCTTTCACTAACAACGGAAGAGGTTCATTGCGGATATTTGGAAGGCCAATGAGTAGTGAGTTGCAGTAGTCAAGTCGGGAAATGATGAGTGCATGAACAAGTGCCATGGTTTTAGCTTGAGTTAGAAAAGGGCAAATGCAGCCAATATTTTTAAGGTCAAAGTTACAGAATTTAGAGACCGGCTGGATGCTTGGTCAACAGTATCACAGGTAGTGAGTAATTACTTTTTTCGATTACATTGTTAGTCACTTTGGTAAGGGCAGTTTCACTAGAGTGGAGGGAGTGGGAGTCCGATTGAAGTGGGTCAAGCAGGGCGTTAGTATTGAGAAAGGGAGCAAAGTAAACACATGCTGCTCAAGAAGCTTAGACGTGATAAGGACTATCTATATGAGACAGTAGTTGAAGAAGTGGGGTCAAGCGATGGCTTTTTAGGATATTTGATGTAACTACATTTAAGATATTAACCCAATGTATTTCCAACAAGTGAGCTTGGGGTATGATTGCTCTGGTGAATAGTTCAGGTCAGTGACTGCTAACTTACCAGGACATTTTCTTTCCATGAATATGTTAAAAAAAGAAAAATACCGATTTGTAGAGGATGTGTTCATACAGGGGGTAACAAAGAGGAATGGGAAAGAAACAGGAAGTTAAAGCAACTAGTGAAGCATTTCATTTGACTTTAAAAATGTTTTATTTATAACTTGTTCCCATACAGAACTATCACAAAAGCCAAAACTATATGGGGGAGGGGGGGGGGGGGGATCAAGCATGAATTATAGATTACAATACATTAATATGAAAAGCAACCAGAACAAGGTTTTTGGCTTTTAGGTAGAAATACATTCAAGTGGTATAGAAAAAGCCACAATAAACTAGTGTGTGCAGTGGCTCTTACGAAACTTGCTGGAGCCATGAGAGGACCACATTTAGGTTAGTGAGAGGGAAAGTGGAGAAAATGTAAAAAGAAAAATACAAACTGGTGAAAGCAACGTTAATAGAGGCAGTGCCATCAGCATTAACTGATCCCAGTGCTGGACCAGCATGACAGGTCCAGCACACATCATCAGCCGATGCCCATTGCAGGGGCTTGATATCGGAACACGTAATGAGGGTCATAAACCCCAAGGTCAGATAACCCAAAGGTGCAGAGTATCATTTCATCATTTAGATAAGGACAACGACTACTCAGCCTTCAGGCATAAACGCAAGGAACACCTCTGTACCGTCCATACCAGACATTCAATCCACAAGAATAAGCCCCAACAAAGAACTAAGGCTGAGAGGTAGGTGGATTCAATCTCCAGTCAGAAATAATATGGTGCATCTCACAGCCACTTCAAGAAAGGTAGTGGGATTGTGGGGTATTGCTCCCACCACCACCTACTGTTTAATCTAGTAAAGGCATGACTGCACTCTATAGGCGGGAGGGATTGATTGCTCATGTCGTGAAGAAATTTTGGCCCCAACCCCTTGCATTACCTGCAGTCACTGCAAAAATTAGCCGAAGAGGCGGTGAAAGTGCGCTAGGAAATTGCAATGGTGGAGACAGGGCCTGTCAGGTTCCTCAAGAGCTGCTGCGTAAGGCATAGGCACTGTTTTAGGCACAGCTGAGTCGACTAGTTATGCACTTAAATGTCACATATCAGGGTGCCTTCCAGGTACAGCTAGGTGGGAAAAAAGTTGGTATTACATACAGGGGATATTAGCGGGGTCCAGGAGAGCTACGGGTGGAGAGATCGCAGTCTCTCACTCACACTAGTGTCACCACTTAGGCGCAGATCTGACCAGAAAGATCTCTGCCAGAAGCTTCCATATCCTGGAACTGTGTGTCAGTTGTTTTGCTAAGGAATAAAATCTGTTACAATGCCCGAAATTAGTGGCAAGGAATCTTCAAAAAAACAAAAAAGGTAGATTTTCGTCAGTGCTCAGGCAATGTGCACCTGCATGGCAGTCAGACACTGCCTCCCCTTACTTTGACTTTTTAACACTTTTTTGATATGATTTAAGAAAGATAAATAGAAAAGAATCTGCAATAGATAATGGGTTTTAAAGTTCTATGCAAAATTATCACCATTATAAACTAAAATATGATATGTCCATAGTGCATTTTAATACAATTTTAAACGTTTACTATATAGCTAAAGAGAATTTATACACAAGAATGGGAAACACTGCAGCTTTACAATAAAAAAAAATAAATAAAAAAAACACAACAACAACAAATATTACTCAATATTTAGGACAAAAGGCATGAGCTAAAACATCAGGTTACTGATAAGTGAATCCAGAGGAATTTGAGCAAAAAATAAACTTTTTAAATGTATTTATTTATAAAATATTTTACCAGGATATGTAGATATTTTTAAATGTATAATTACGTATCTATGCAATATAATCACAGCTATAAAAATAAACATATTGAGAAACACAGGGAAATAAAACTTGTTTGGTCAACCAATAGTCTTCAAAAGAAATGTAGTCAATCATTTTACTTCTACAGTGACATGGTAGAGGCAGACTAATGACCGTCGTAACTTCACAATTAAAAACAACAAATATGGATCAGCACACACACACACACACACAAATATTTAAACTATTTCAAATCCGGTCCTGATTCCAAAAAGAGTAACTCAATAGCTTGCCCTTTGAGATTTCATGTTTACATCTCAAAATGTTTTTTTTTCTCACTTGTGCCATTACAGACTGAACCCACACATAAGGGCAGTCCAGAACCGAAATGCCGGCAAGTTCTTTCTGCACGAGAAAAAGCTACTCTGGACGATTGCTTAATTTGGTTCTGGGCTGCCCCTATGGGTGGGATCAGTCTTATACGCAAATTGTATGGGTTCTCTTTGTAGTGGCACATGTGATCAAAAACTATTTTAAAACCTGAGCGGAGAGTAACTGAAGGGCAAGCTGACTTTCTCTAAGTTTTTGCCCCTTCTCAGAGTTTTCATATTATCTGTTTTGTATCAGCTTGTATTGTCTCATACAATAGGTTTCATACAACATTTTACTGTTATCACGCCACGCATCCCACCATTTTAGGAAAATACAGATGCTGATTTGATTAATTTAAAAACTAAATTCAAAAAATATATAGTGGTACCTTGGTTTATTGCGAAAAATTCGTAAACCGAAACGTGGTTTCCCATAGGAATGCACATTGAAAACCAATTCATACGTTTCGGAGGTCAGAAAAAAGTAAAAATGAGCTGGCATGGAAACCAACCCACAATGTAGCTCCCTACCTTTCCACCGCTTTAGAAATTCACCAAAAAAGTTCCAAAAAGGCCCAAAACCGCTGCAAACAATTTCCAGAATGGCTCCAAAACTCGATGCAAAAAACACTCCAACACCTCCACACTCGATGCCACGTGCTACCCACAGACTTCAGCATGCACGGGGGCGGCGCTATAAACCTCCCATGTGCAATGCATCCTTGCTTCGTATTGCGAAAATCATTAGTAAACCGAGGCATTATTTTCAATGGATTTTCATTTGTAAACCGAAAATTATGTTAACCGAGGCGTTTGTAAACCGAGGTACAACTGTATATATTTTTAAAACTGTTAAAATTAGTTCCTTTCCTTAAAATGTTATGGATTTTAAAATGATATATTCATAGTCTAACCATTAGACAATATATGTGAATGGACTAACCAAAAAGGCATATGCATTACACAGATTGCAACAGTTCTGTGTGTATAAAGAGTATTTTGGGGGCAAAGTTCTAAAAGTGGAGTAATCGCCATGGTAACCGATGTAATGTCCCTGCTGACTGCTCCACCTTTAGCATTTTCTTCACAGAAGTATTATTTATTCTTAATTCGCTATAAGTCTATTACTAAATATATATAAAAAAAAAATAATAATAAAAACAAAAACCAAAACTAGTAGTAGATTTCCAAGATAACAGAACAATATGGCTACCCACTCTAGCTGATTGTAATATAATATGCATATTCTGAGTGGAAGTGCCTGGCTTGCAAATTCTAGTCAGTAATACAGTATGCAAATGGTCAGAGCAGACATACAGCAATTCAGATGATCCATGGTATCTGACAAGGTAGCTGAACCTCAAGAGTGAGAGTGTGTCTGGGTTTATAAATATTTTTATTATTAGAATTTGAATTGAGAATTATATTATTCTTCAGTAGTACCCATGACTGTCCTCATCATGACAAGCTCTACAAAATACACATATTTATCCAAATAAAAGAAAATCATACTATCCCAGTGTTAATAGTGTTATATTTTCCAACAGAAAATATTCTAGGAGAAGATTTAAGAAATAGAAATACAATATTAATAGACCAAAAAGCTACATCACACAATAAAAAGAAAAGGGACTTAAAACTAAGATCCTTCATAAAACATAAATATTTATTACAGCAAAAGTCTCTTCTGCACAATAATGATATTAACCCACCAAAGTAAATATGGACAGCAAAAAAAGTGCTGCCCAACAAAAACTTTAAAAAGGGCAAGCAGAAGGAAAAAAAATATCTGCACACAATTCCCTGGTTTCTGAGGTATTACCCCCTATCTGAGGTTTAAAACACTGAATATAAAGATTCTCCAGTGCAGGTAAAAAATGCTGGTGGGGAAAGGAAAAAACAACAACGAACTTTAGGTAAATAACGGTCATCTGTTGTGGAATGATGTGCTGTGTTGTAAAGAGTCCACAGATGATCCCCATCTCTGCATGGGCTGTGGAGCCCTCCTTGAGGAACTCAAGTGTGGAGGTTCCACCGAGTCCATAACATTTGGAACAGTCATATCATATTCGTATCGTTCCAACATCTTGGAAATCTTGTCACGCGGTACTCCATGCTTATTTCTCCTAGAAAACAAAATTGGCAAAAACATTAAGTGTCAATTAAAATGTGTTTTCATTAAAGTGTGGGATGGTCGTAAAACCTTGATGTGACTTTAGCAATGAAATGGTACAGTGGCACAATACGTGCGTTGAAATGTGACAATCAATTTCATCTTTTGAAAAATGAGAACATCTTGTTTGAACATTTAATCTAATGGAGCGATTAATAAATTATATGGTTCCGCACAGCTAAATGTCAGTTTAAATAAAAAGAGAAGAAACGTATTATTCCGCATTTTAAGGAGAAATTATGTTATTTCTAAGTCACTGTGTTCACATATATGTATTTTCTTATCTTTATAACCCATTTTTACTTTTTGGGTACCATTTGTTAACATTGCCCAGCATATATCCCAATGCACAAACCAAATTTACAATTTTTAAATGGCTCACCCCTTCCTACCCCATCCTATAATTATATCTAGTTTTTTGTTTGGTTTTTCTTGTTATTCCTTTGAGTACTAAACGATGGACTATATTTGCCCACCTCTGGTACTTTAAGAAAAGTATGCCACAAATCTATTGGAAGTAAAAGTGTTCACCTATCTCTAGAATCCAGGCAGAAAAAACAAAAACAAATGAAATGTAAACTGAGCTTGGCACACATGCATTAATGTTTAGGTCCTCCAAGGACACAATTCTCAAGGCATCTGCAGAGAGCAAACCATTAGCTACATTATGCGATATTATAATTCAACGGCTATCAATATCAAATGAGCGTGTAATGCTTAATACAATATTAATCCGATGCAGAGGTCATTGTTTTCTCCTAGATTAAACTGCTTACATTACAAAAAAGAAGTAATTTAAGAAGCAATGTAAAAAAGGCACCATTTGTTTTAAAAATATTTTCCCATCTTCATTAGTAATTTCTGGACGTGCTTTAGCTTCCCACGCCCAGCTACTCATATTTAGCACCAGAATTTCTTCAACATGTCTGCCTTTCTCTAGCCTCCTATTGGTGGGTGCATTTATCTGACCTGCTATTGGTGGGTGCATTTCTCTGACCTGCTACTGGTGGGTGCATTTCTCTGACCTGCTATTGGTGGGTGCATTTCTCTTAACCTGCTATTGGTGGGTGCATTTCTCTTAACCTGCTATTGGTGGGTGCATTTCTCTTAACCTGCTATTGGTGGGTGCATTTCTCTTAACCGGCTATTGGTGGGTGCATTTCCCTGACCTGCTATTGGTGGGTGCATTTCTCTGACCTGCTATTGGTGGGTGCATTTCTCTTAACCTGCTATTGGTGGGTGCATTTCTCTTAACCTGCTATTGGTGGGTGCATTTCTCTTAACCTGCTATTGGTGGGTGCATTTCTCTTAACCGGCTATTGGTGGGTGCATTTCCCTGACCTGCTATTGGTGGGTGCATTTCTCTGACCTGCTATTGGTGGGTGCATTTCTCTTAACCTGCTCTGGTGGGTGCATTTCTCTGACCTGCTATTGGGTGTGGTGCATTTCCCTGACCTGCTACTGGTAGGGTGCATTTCCTGACCTGCCTACTGGTAAGGTTGCATTTCTCTGACCCTGCTACTGGTGGGTGCATTTCTCTGACCTATTGGTGGGTGCATGACCTCTTGGTAGGTGCATTTCCTGACCTCTTGGTGGGTGCATTTCCCTGACCTGCCTATTGGTGGGTGCATTTCTCTTAACCTGCTATTGGTGGGTGCATTTCTCTTAACCTGCTATTGGTGGGTGCATTTCCCTGACCTGCTATTGGTGGAGTGCATTTCCCCTGACCTGCTATTGGTGGGTGCATTTCTCTGACCTGCTATTGGTGGGTGCATTTCCCTGACCTGCTATTGGTGGGTGCATTTCCCTGACCTGCTATTGGTGGGTGCATTTCCCTGACCTGCTATTAGTGGGTGCATTTTTATGACCTGCTCCTGGTGGGTGCATTTTTCTGACCTGCTACTGGTGGGTGCATTTCCCTGACCTGCTATTGGTGGGTGCATTTATCTGACCTGCTATTGGTGGGTGCATTTATCTGACCTGCTATTGGTGGGTGCATTTCTCTGACCTGCTCCTGGTGGGTGCTGACCTGCTATTGGTGGGTGCATTTCCCTGACCTGCTACTGGTGGGTGCATTTCCCTGACCTGCTACTAGTGGGTGCATTTCTCTGACCTGCTACTGGTGGGTGCATTTCTCTGACCTACTATTGGTGGGTGCATTTCCTTGACCTGCTCTTGGTGGGTGCATTTCCCTGACCTGCTCTTGGTGGGTGCATTTCCCTGACCTGCTATTGGTGGGTGCATTTCCCTGACCTGCTATTGGTGGGTGCATTTCCCTGACCTGCTATTGGTGGGTGCATTTCTCTGACCTGCCATAAGTGGGGGCATCTGTCAGTCATTGGTTACAGTATGTGCAATTGCATTTTGGAGGTAGAATTGTATATAGTAGTAACATGGGCACAGGTTTCCGAATATCTCACCATTTTCTTCATCTGTGTAGACACCTATACAAACTGAGCACAAAGCCCTTAGATGGTTAAAGATGTTTGTGTCATAGTTTAGATTTGGATTATTATACCAGTTTCCAAGATATTGATTTGTTTTATAAGTTTTACAACAAATATTTTACTTATCTTTGCTATTCTCCAATTTGGCTTTTGCACATGCACGTGCTTGTCTTACTATACAGCCCCTATTCTCAAGGTCTGTATCTTGCTTTATTTTCTATAAAAAGTGTCCTTACTGCTTTTTACAATGCGGATGTAACATATAGTTTCTATTCCAACTCTAATAATACATGGATAATGAAATCACAGGCTTTGCATCGAGGAGGAGCTGAAAAGAAGTATCAATTCATCTGGAAGACTTCTTATTACTCAAACTGTCATTTTTTTTACATGTCTCAGAATGAAATTTAGTACAATTAAGTGAGCATAGAATTCTATCATAGGTTAGAATGCTTAAATGGAAATATCATTAGAAGATAATTGTCAGGGGCGGAGCGACCAGACATGCTCTGTATGAGCTCCTGCATCTGACACCGGAAAACTGGGTCTAGCAGCGGGCCACACACACATTATCACCTCAGTTAGTATTTATCCTGCTAAGCCGCCATCGGTGCACCCGGGGATACCTTACACAAGTCTGTTTCAGCACTGGATCACCTGGACAGGTGCCTGTGGCCTACTCGAATTTGAGCTGAGGAGAGACAGCTGCTCTCCCAGCTTTCTGATCATTGCAGTGGGGACCAGTGGGGGTTATCCCGGTCCCCACTGGTGAGCCTCACTATCCTCTGCTGAACGGTCTACCTCAAGATGGCAGACATGCAGCAAACTTGTGTACAAAAGCTTACGTTGATCCCATAAGGCGCATCAGAGCATATACTGCAGCGCCTGACCGAGATCTTCAAAAACTTCTGAGCCAAACTATCTGCTAGTATTGAGGCGAAACCGGCTCCAGTTGGAGAGACAGGAGGTGAACGGGACCCCCCTGGGCACTTCCTTGACGCTAGCGATTCAGTTTCCCACCCACGGCTTACCAGGGCTGAAGACCAACAGGGATTATCTCCTGATGCTTCTACCAACGGCACGGAAGATCCATTGCCACAGGCAGCGACAGTCCATTAGGAGCCTCTGTCGTGCCCCTTAATTGAAGAACCTGGACTCCCCTTTGAGCTCCCAAGTTTGTGGTCTCAGGATGCAGGCTTTCATGACGGCCTGGGGGGTTGTCGTGCTCAGACCTTGTCATATAATACCTTTCAGCTGCTTTCTCCTGCTACCAACTTGGGGCATTGGCTGACTTGAGACTTAACAACCCAAACGTCCTGCTGGTTAGAAATCTGACTCATTTATTTGCCTACTTGAATGCCTAGTAGATGCTAGCCAGCATTTACTTGTATTTTTATGTTTTTGCTCGCTACTGCCCACATCGATCTCGACTTTAATTTTATTTTACTTTTATCATGCTGTGACAGCACTTTTCTTTTTTCTTTTCTGTTATGTTACTATACGATAACGTGCAGCTTCAGTGGTGTTATGCTTGTATAACATGATAGAATGCACATACAAGATGCTGGCTAATATACCATTATCTAACCTTGGTTCTTACTCCAAGTATATATTATGTTTTCTCTCTTAGCTGTCTGCCCAAAGGCCAACCGCAAGCCATCCAACAATCCTGTTAAATCTTTTCTTAATTTATTTAACGCCTTGTAGCGCCAATAATTTTGTTCTGTGCTGTAACATGACATTGGGTGGTACTATAATCTAAAGAAATAAAGTTACTTGCGCTCTTTTCCAAATCCCTATGTATATTTAAACAAATGGAGGTTATTTACTTACTCAAATTTAGCCTGCAATGAAGCACCTATAACATGCTAGATAATTGTTACTTCATGCATATATTTTGTATTCATTGTAACGTACCTATATTTGCCAATTAATCTACTATAGTCTAATGTTGATTGTTACCCCAGGCATATATTGTGTTTTCTTTACTTACAAAAGTGGCATGTTTACTCACTTCGTGACCTTGACTGAATATAAATGTTATATATATCCTGCCTCCATGCAGACGCTAATCCAAGTTTGCATGTTGTCTTACTACGACTCATCCTGTTTATGTCATGGTTGTACCGCTATACTTCATGTTCAATATATGCCACAAAAAAAACCAAAGATTGACAAAAAAAAAAAAAAGAAGAGAAGATAACAGTCACATCATGGCTGTTTTTTTAAATAGACTTTAAACGAAATTGTTGTTTTGGTTTTGTTTAAATGAAGCATATATAATGGAGAAAAAGAAAAATCCTCCTCCTCACCTTAATATACGACAGGATCCTTCAGATATGTACATGCATAGTCTCCATGGTCTTCCCTGCTTCACCCAATGCAGACTCTCTGACCCAAGGTGCATGTATATGGGGGAAAGATCCTGTCATGTAATGAAGGTGGGGATATATTTTTCTACTTTTTTTTTTTCTTTTTTTTTTATATATACTTCATTTGAAAACAAAAACAAAAAGATTTCCTTTCAAAATGTGTTGATAGGATTATTATATTAAAAAAATAGTAACAGATGTCTTTCAAACATCGAATTTGGATATAGTGTAACCTGCAGGAATATATGCTTCTTGGCAGAGATGTAACAGACAATGCCATATTGTATTTCCTTCTCCAGGCTTAAACTGGGGATAAAACATAATCAATGAGTATATGTGTAGACACCAGGTTTCTGCCAGTTGCCCAGGCCAGCTGCTTTCTGTACATTATTCAGCAACCACCGCAGCTCAGACTAGGGGAGTATAACTAACAGGATCACAAAACCTAAAACCCCTTCAGCAGCTTACCTTAATCCAGCGCCGGGCTCCCTTGGCGCTGGTGACCTCTCCTCTCCCGCCGATTTGAGCTCCTGAGTGGAGCGGAATGCGCATGCGCGGCAAGTGCCGCGCGCGCATTCAAGCAGTCCATAGGAAAGCTATAGACATTACAGCCATTCAGACATTACATAAATAAATATTAATATATAAACTGGCATAGTATTCAACAGGTTGGATTAGCAGGAATTTTACATTTAGAAGAGTATTTTGATAAAATAATTCCCCTTTTCATACAAACTAATGGATTCATGCGGGATTTTAAATTTTGTCTCCTATCCATGTAACTCAGATACACCTCTATCTATGCTATAGCCTTGATATGCTTAGTTATTGCAAGCCAGCATCTAGATGTAATTCTCTGTGATGGGATTTCAGCTAGGCCCAAAATTTAGTAGGCCTAAAATCTCCATGTGGCATATACAAGTACAAGTATCTGTTAGTTAGTTAGTTAGTTAGTGTCAGGGTCCCGCGGGCGGCTGCAGTCCGCGAGGGGAGGTTGCAGTCCGCTCGCGGCACTCACCCTCCAGCCGTCCGCGGTCCCCCTTCAGCCGTGTGCTCGGCGGGCGGCACCCTCTCTCCCACGGGTGCCGTCCGCCTCTTCCTCTGTGTCTCCCAGCGGCAGCATGCATGACGCTGCACGCTGGGAGACCGCCCACTTTAACCAACGCCGGGGTCAGTCACCTGACCCGGCGTTAAAGGCACAGTGCCTCAATCACAGTGGGAGGTTTAGATATCTCCCACGTGTGATTGTTAATTCTGATTGGAAATTATCCAATCAGAATTAACCTTTGGATTTATATACTTACCTTTCCTGTTCCTCTTCGCCCTGTTGTGGTCTTTGCTTGTTAGTATTGATTCTGAACTTGTGCTTCTGGTTACGTACTCTCTGGCTTGTTATCCGACTCTGTGACTTTCTCCTACCCTTTGACCTCGGCTTGTTTCACGTTATTCTGTCTTCTGGTTCCCCTTACTCGGCTTGTTTCCTGACTATTCTTTGTGTGCTTAGCCCGGCCACTCTAAGGTCCGGTACGGCACTTTGTGTGTGTGTGTGTGTGGCGTGTTTGGTTCCCCGAATCGTGACATTACAACAGGGCCATAATGGAACCTGCTGACATACCACAGCTCCTAGTTAATCAGGAGGCTAGAATGGATGGCTTGGACCACCGTATGGACCAGTTTGCCCAAGCTTTACAAACCATACTGGCTCGTACTGCACACTTGCAACCTGCCGTCCAGGAGGCTGCTGCTGCTGTGCCCGAACCCATTCCCACTCCGGTACCCGTTCCTGCTCATGTTGTTCACATGACACCGCCACAACGCTACAGCGGTGACCCAGCATTGTGTCGTGGTTTCCTTAACCAAATTGACATCCATTTGGTGATGAATCCACGTTCCTATCCCACTGACAGATCCAAAATTGCCTTTTTGATTAACCACCTGTCCGGGAAAGCTTTAGCATGGGCTAACCCCATGTGGGAGAATACATCTCCTATGTCCTTTGTAGAGTTCTTGACAGCTTTCAAACGTACGTTTGATCAACCCGGTAGGGTTGCCTCTGCTGGCAAAGCTCTGCTTAGGGTACGACAGGGTAATAGATCTGTAGCGGATTATACTATCGAATTCCGCACGCTAGCAGCTGAAGTGGTTTGGAATAATGATGCCCTCGTAACAGCCTTTCAGGAGGGTTTGGCCGCCTACATACTTGATGAAATAGCATCCAGGGAATTGCCTGTTCTTCTAGATGATGTCATAGATTATGTCATTCTTATTGATAACCGTATTAGAGAGAGGCGTAGTCAAAGACGGATGGATACACGGGCATTACCTGCTCCCCCCCTCTACTGCTTTACTAGCACTACCCGCTCCTAGTCAACCAACCCCCGAACCCATGCAATTGGGTGCTACGGGGCTAACTGAGGCTGAAAGAGCATATCGTAGAAGGGAGGGGTTATGCCTTTATTGTGGAAAGAGGGGGCACCACTGTAATGCCTGCCCTAAGTTACAGGGAAACTACAGCACCTAAGGCCTAGAGAGGGGTCGGCCTCGGGTGTTATGACTTTGTCCCCTCATGTGTCCATCTCCAGACCGTTTATTACGGTTTCTCTTTTGGTCAATAAAACCACCATAACCACCAAAGCCTTGATCGATTCAGGTGCGGCAGACAACCTTATGGATGAGAACTTTGCTAAAACCGCAGCCTTAACTTTGATCCAAAAGGCCACATCCTTGGTCGTTGAGGCCATAGATGGTAGACCACTTGAGAAACCTCTGGTGACCCATGAGACCCAAGAAATAGTGATGTCTGTAGGTGTTTTGCATAAGGAAAGGTTAACCTTCCAAATAATTGACTCCCCTACTGCTTCCATCGTTCTGGGTTTTCCCTGGTTAGTGAAACACAACCCTGTTCTCGATTGGGGTTGCTTGGATATACTATCCTGGGGGGAATCCTGTCAACGAGACTGTATGGCTCAGGTACGTCCTGTTTGTTTACTCAACGTGCCCACGGCTAAACCACTCTCTGTTTCTGTCCCTTCTGTATATGCAGATCTTGCATTGGTTTTTGAAAAGAGGGAGGCAGATAAGCTACCTCCACATCGTGACTATGACTGTGCCATAAACCTTTTACCGGGCACTATGCCCCCTAGGGGTAAGGTCTACCCTCTTTCTGAGAAAGAAAACCAGGTCATGGAGGAGTACATACGAGAATCCTTAAGGAAAGGTTTTATTAGAAGGTCCTCCTCTCCTGCTGGTGCTGGTTTCTTTTTTGTGGCAAAGAAGGAGGGCGATTTGAGGCCGTGTATAGACTACAGGGGTCTGAACAATATAACGGTTAAAAACGCCTACCCTATCCCCCTCATCACTGAGTTGTTTGACCGCGTTAAAGGTTCTAAGTACTTTACTAAACTAGACCTCAGGGGAGCTTATAACCTTATCCGTATAAAGGAGAATGATGAGTGGAAGACAGCGTTCAATACGCGTAGTGGGCATTATGAATACCTGGTCATGCCTTTTGGACTGTGTAATGCTCCTGCTGTGTTTCAGGATCTCATAAACGATGTCCTTAGGGATCTATTGCATGTCTGTGCCGTGGTGTACCTTGACGACATACTTGTATATTCTCCTGATTTGAAGTCACATCATAAACATGTTAGGATGGTGCTTAAAAAATTATTACAGAACGGACTTTATTGTAAGTTAGAAAAATGTCTGTTCGATCAGACCTCTGTGCAATTCCTGGGATATATAATTTCTGAACAGGGTTTTAGTATGGATCCTGCTAAATTGGAAGCTATACTGTCCTGGCCACTTCCCCAAGGACTTAAGGCTATCCAGCGTTTTATAGGTTTTGCTAACTATTATAGAAAATTTATAAAAACTTCTCACCACTTATCTCTCCTATCACAAAGCTGACTAAAAAAGGTCTACACCCTAGGGTTTGGACTCCTGAAGCCCTTAAAGCCTTTGAAACTCTCAAGAAAGCATTTGCCTCTGCTCCAGTACTACACCACCCTAATCCTTCTCTTCCCTTTGTTATGGAAGTAGATGCTTCTGAATCGGGGGTGGGAGCAGTACTATCACAAAGGTTATCGTATGACGAACCCCTCCATCCCTGTTGTTTCTTTTCTAAAAGGTTGTCTGATCCAGAAAAGAATTACGATGTTGGGAATAGAGAACTATTAGCTATTGTGTTAGCTTTTAAGGAATGGAGGTACTTATTAGAGTGTTCTAGACACAAAATTATGGTTCTGACAGATCATAAGAACCTCTCCTATATAGCCGATGCTAGAAGGTTGTCCGCCCGACAGGCTAGATGGTCTCTATTCCTTTCGCGATTCCAATACATTATTACCTATAGACCTGGTTGCCGTAATGCCAAAGCTGATGCTATCTCTCGACAGTATGAACCTTTAGAATTTGTTAACCCAACCCCTGAACCTATTGTACCAGCTTCTCAGATCATAGCTGCTACCCGTTTGGTTGTTTCATCTCCCTTCCTTGAGAATATTAAGACATACCAAACCCAAGCGCCTCAGGAGATGCCTGTTGGTAAACTATACGTGAAAGTAAGTGACAGAAAAAAGTTGTTAACATTGTTTCACACCGCCAAAACTGCTGGTCATCCGGGGGTTACCAAGACTTATAAGAGCCTCCTTCAACAGTTCTGGTGGCCTTCACTCAAGCGAGACGTAGTGGATTTTGTTCAGGCTTGTCGGGTCTGTACGCAGTGTAAGTCTCCTAATATGAGACCCCAAGGCCTACTGATGCCTCTATCTATACCCAAGAAACCATGGACCCACTTGTCCATGGATTTTATTGTGGACCTTCCTCCTTCTGATGGTCAGATGGTGATATTAACTGTGATGGATAGGTTCTCTAAAATGGCCCACTTTATTCCACTTAAGAAACTACCCTCTGCGATTCAGCTTGCCCAGGTGTTTGCCAAGGAAGTGTTCCGATTGCATGGGGTACCTCAGGATATTGTTTCTGACAGGGGCCCGCAATTTGTCTCTCGGTTTTGGAGGGGCTTTTGTGCTGAGATGGGGGTCTCCTTGTCGTTCACTTCCTCCTATCACCCGCAATCTAATGGTGCAGCCGAACGTGCTAATCAGTCTGTGGAATTGTATTTGCGCTGCTTCACTAATGCGCACCAGGACGACTGGTCTCGCCTTCTTCCGTGGGCTGAATTTGCCAGGAATGCGGTGTCTCATTCGTCTACTGGCTTAAGTCCTTTTGAGGTTGCTTATGGGTTTCGGCCTTCTGTCCTTCCCGGTGCGTTCTCTGACAAGGGAATGCCCGCCTTGGACCAGCACCTCGCCTCTTTACGGAAGACGTGGGATCAGGTCCATATTGCGCTGTCTCGTTCAGCAGCTGCTCAGAAGAAGTTCGCTGATCGCCATAGGGGTGCGACCCCTTCTTATGCTCCGGGTGATAGGGTGTGGTTGTCCTCCAAGAACCTCCGTCTCAGGGTCCCCTCCATGAAGTTTGCTCCCAGGTTTCTTGGTCCCTACAAAGTGTTACGTAGGATCAACCCCGTTTCCTACTCCCTGGACTTGCCTCCTTCCATGCGTATTCCGCACACGTTTCACGTTTCGCTTTTGAAGCCCTTGCTGTGTAACCGGTTCTCTCGTCCTCTCGGACGGCCCGTTTCCCCTCGTACTGTCTCTAGTGACGTGTTCGAAGTAGCTGCCCTTCTCGACTCTCGTGTTTCTAGGGGTCGGCTGCAATATCTGGTGGATTGGAAGGGTTACGGCCCTGAGGAGCGATCTTGGGTTTCGAGCTCTGATTTGCACGCCCCCTCTTTAGTCCGCTCCTTTCATGCCCGGTTTCCTTTGAAGCCTTCTGCTTCCCGCCCTCTGGGCGGTCTTCGAGGGGGGGGTACTGTCAGGGTCCCGCGGGCGGCTGCGAGGGGAGGTTGCAGTCCGCTCGCGGCACTCACCCTCCAGCCGTCCGCGGTCCCCCTTCAGCCGTGTGCTCGGCGGGCGGCACCCTCTCTCCCACGGGTGCCGTCCGCCTCTTCCTCTGTGTCTCCCAGCGGCAGCATGTATGACGCTGCACGCTGGGAGACCGCCCACTTTAACCAACGCCGGGGTCAGTCACCTGACCCGGCGTTAAAGGCACAGTGCCTCAATCACAGTGGGAGGTTTAGATATCTCCCACGTGTGATTGTTAATTCTGATTGGAAATTATCCAATCAGAATTAACCTTTGGATTTATATACTTACCTTTCCTGTTCCTCTTCGCCCTGTTGTGGTCTTTGCTTGTTAGTATTGATTCTGAACTTGTGCTTCTGGTTACGTACTCTCTGGCTTGTTATCCGACTCTGTGACTTTCTCCTACCCTTTGACCTCGGCTTGTTTCACGTTATTCTGTCTTCTGGTTCCCCTTACTCGGCTTGTTTCCTGACTATTCTTTGTGTGCTTAGCCCGGCCACTCTAAGGTCCGGTACGGCACTTTGTGTGTGTGTGTGTGTTGGCGTGTTTGGTTCCCCGAATCGTGACAGTTAGTTAGTTACAAGTGGCTAAGATAATGTCATCAATGTACTGAACATGTTCAAGAACTGAAACCACATTCAATTCTCCTAAAGGGCCATGTTGCCTGTCCATATAAGGTGATCCTGTGTATCCGGTTTGCTGATTGGTGCAAGGGTACAGATGGGGATGCATAGTTTTTAAAAAGCCTCTACTCCATGTGCTCAGGGCTCAGATCTTTTGAACATTAGGTCAGCTGAGACCCGATCGGTGAGAATAAAGACCTTTACTTCCTGAAAAGACCTGTGTCCGTACTCTCTGTGCATGACTTCTTCAGTGCTCCCCTGTAACATCTCCACTTACTGTCTACAACAAATATATGTATGCCCCATTGCATTCTGAACACCTTGTTTCATCAAAATAGAAAAGGCCTTACTTTTCCAACTCAGATGGGTCAAGCTTCCACCATGTGTCTGGCTCCAGGAACTCCACACTGTAATCTCTTTCTATGGCCTGAGGAAAGCAAGGTGATCGCATTAAAGGATGGGTTCATAGCAAACAGCATACATTTAAATGTTTTCTTCACTGGTGAGCAGTATTTTCAAATACATGGCAGATTAACATATACTGATATTTTACTGGCTAAACAAAAATTTAAACCCTTCTATGTTTAACTGATACAAACCATATTTGCATCTCAAACCAGTCTGTCAAGTGGGTGGGAACACTTGGCAACCATACACATGTCTACTAATTCAAAACTAATATCCATTGGAATATCCGTTAATCATCACCAAAGGAAATGCACACCCACACCTTCCAACATTTCAAATTTAAACAGACTGACACTCAGCTTAGTGGGATACTGATTGGTATTTATAGAGCTGAATAAGACATTTAAACATGAATCAAGTATATTACTTACACAAACAAAAGTACACGTTTACTGCAATTTACACATTTCTGGAATATTATCAATGTCAAGCTCTAACATACACACTCAGCATTTTGATTAGAGAGATCACAATAGGAAAGCACAAGGGAATTTGTCCAAAGACGGACTGTCCCTCCTAAAGATGCATACCCTGAAAATATGCAAGCCATGGTTAGTACCCAGGTAATCCAGGCAGTAGTCCCAGACTATGTTTAATGCAAGCTTTATTTGAGGAGAGACGTGTGTGCATCTCCCTCCTACACGAACAATTGCAAATATTTATATATCGCCAATATATTACGCAACACTGTATACCAGGAAACAAGACAATCATTTAACTCTAACAAAACATATATTATATATAGTAACATTAGGTGAAGAGGGTCCTGCTCAAATAAACTTGCAATCTAAACCTCTCTCTCAATGTTTCCTTACTATACAGTGCATGAGTTACGACATCAGAAATCAACAGAACTATAACAGGTGTGTGCAGTACGCACATCACCTGATTCAGGTTCCTCTTCGAAGTGTACGCAAGCAGAGGTAGGTTCATATTGCACCAATATATTCAGCCAGTAAGAATATATTCAGCGGAACAGCTCACTGCTGGTTTAACACTCAGCAGCCAATCATGAGCCTTGTATATTTTCCTCCATCAGAACTAGCCTAGTGGCGTTCAAATGTGAGATATGTTCATTACTATTTTGTTGCTGCAATGGCTGTATTCATTATGTGACCAATAATGGGACAGAGGCTGCCGTTGTGAACACACGCACTGTAACCGAATATATCACTCCCAAAGCAGGAGAGAAAGAGACTGCTTCACTTACATCCTGCACACCTAGTAAGCACAGATCTTTATTTCTGGTTACAGTTGGTAGAAATACTTTTTTATTTTTTTACTATTTGTAATGGTTGTTTCAGAGCATATTGTGAAAATGTACCTTCCATACAATGCATTAAAAAGTGGGTCAGTTCCAGTCTGGAATGTCAAGCATACAACAGTAATCATACCATTTGTACGTAGGGTTTCATTTCCCATTTCTGAATATTAGTATTGTCAATGATAATAGGAGATCTTCCGTCATCCATTGCTCTCTTGGCTATAATAAACAAAACAAGAAAAATATTGTTTTAAAAAAAAAAATAAAAAAAATTAACACCACAAATCAAGAATAAATGTGAGATCTTCAGTTATTATAAATATATAAATAAATGTCAACAATATGTAACTATAAAGTAGCTATTTTCTCAATGAAAATATATAAAAGCTATATTAAAAATTGAAACAAAATAATTGGTCATTTTTTATTTTTTTTGCATAGACAGAGATGCAGCTGCACGACAGTTTAGACTTACGGAGAAGCCAAATCACAACTCATGTTTCATTTGTATTACAGAAAGGAAATATAGTTAGTTATTGCATACAAAATGCCTGAATGTTGTAATGTACATGTTTCCATCACTAGGTGTTTACAGATTCATAGAGCTCAGGATAGTGTCAGCATCCTTGGTCAATTAAACAGGTATAGGCAGATTACAGTAAGAGACATGTTGGGAAAGCTCGATGTCATCCATTGCATTACTACAAGGTTTGCATTACTCTCAGTGAATGGTAGGTTTATAGCATTCTATATGCTCTACTTGGTTCTACATCTGATGTGTGTAATTCACATAATGATATTTCGACTGTCGACATGCCACAATCTGTCTTAATTTTACAACAGTTGAAACTTTAATTGTAAAAAAAAAAAAAAAAGTTTAAAACCAAAAAGAACTTTCCACACCAAGCGGCTCCCCTGTCTCCCGTCATCACTGCGTGGCTCAGTGTGGGGGAGTCCCTCTGTCCCCTCCCCCGTTGCAGTCTGAAAAACATTTATGACTAAAACTATGTACACTATCCGAGCTGGAGGGAAACAACACTGTGCTGGAGCAGAAGTTGGCACAACAGCAGGCAACGGGGCTTTGGAGCTTGCGGCCCTCTTGTAGGAGAGGTGGGATGGACGGCCGCCACCCTGCCCACTTACCTGGCTGCCACACAACGGCTCTATGACACAACCCACAGGCCCCTTCCCGGATATCACGGTCCCCACTGTAGGGAATCGAGGTGATCTTCACTGAGGCCTGCAGGGTGCACTCCCATACCCCGAATCTAAAATGGCCGCCGCACTGCCTCGTCACCACGCGGTTGCAAGAGAAACCCCTCACCACTGTGCAGGGACTGAATAAACCCCCGGCCCCAGCAACACGAGAAACCAACTACGGGTTACACCTGCCCAAGCCTCAAGCCAGGCGACACGGCACCCCACATGTCCATCAGACCCGAGCCGCCACCGATTACATACCGGGCAAAGCCTTAAACAGCTGCTCGTCTACCGGGGAGAGAACTGATGAGATACACGTCCAGCACCCAGCCCCCAGCCGACCAACACCCCATCGCATGAAAGTTCAATACGGGGAGAGGAAAGAGATCCTGCCACATATCACACGGGATGAGATGGCTCCACAACAGCATACGGCATAGATGAACCGCTCGCAGGCACATTAATCTGCTTTACAGAGTCACTCAACTACCTACTCTACTGTGTACCTTAAGCCCAGCGGACATACTATTTACCCAGGTTGGAGGTAGGGAAGCCACAAGCCCGAGGGGCTAAGAAAGCCAGACAGCTCACTACTTCCAGCAACTCGACAGAGTAGGAACCGGGGAACGGAGTGACATGCGTCGAAGAACCCAGTGGAGATTATCAGCGTGTGTCTTTTACCTAACATGCTTTCTTTGCGTTGATTTATTCTTTGGACACTGACAGCTCAGATAGGTACCCTATGTAAAACAAGCAATTGCTCATGCCAATAACTACCCTGCATGGTACTGGTCTGGCTGAAACCTTTAGTCTAGCATAGAATTACTGTACATTACCTGTTTAAGCCTGATGCCAGCCAGCTACATTTCAAGTATCATCTAGTGCCCTCACCCACAGGTTACAGGATTAACCAGTTAACTAAACAACCAAACGATGAGACAAGCAGATTTCCCGTGTAACCAGGTTCTATAACTAACAAAAAAAAGAGCTATGTACGAACGCCATGATATTGTGAAATTAAACACATGTATTACTTCATTGACTTGTACTAGCTATTGTGGCTTGACAAGCGTGTGTGTTAAACCTGCAAAAATAAAGAATTAAAAAAAAAAAAACATATTGCGGACTTTGCCAGTCAATGTGCCTGACTATAGAGACATTTGCAATGACCATCCCCCTTGCATTCCTCACAGCATATTAGGAAGACTTTAAACACATCTATACTGCTGGGTAACCAAATCATAATATAAGGAAACAATATAGACACCTGTTTGAACATTTGGTGCTGGATTCCTCTCAAATAGATAATAAAGTAATAGATGTAACAATGTCAGATTTTTAAACTTACATTTTTTTTTCCCCATTTGCTATCACAAATGGTATTGATTTGTGTGCTCTGCCCTCTGTTATTCAATTACTAAGCCAATAGCATTACAGCAGGAAGTGCATTGGTACTGGAGAGAACTGGTGCTCAAAAATCAAACTTCTCTGGAAGTTAAACTAACCAGGATTTGCTACGATTCCAGAAATGACAAATGAAAAAAATAGGGAAGTGGCTATATGACTACACGGTTCTCCCGATGCTTTCAACAACAAATGGAAATACTTTTCTTTTCATATATTATTGCTACTGCAAGCATTTTATAAACAACACCGGCTCAGGCACAAAGGCAAATGTTATATATGATAATGAGAAAATACATTAATCTTTCTACATAAACACACAAACTCTTTATATTTAAAAATATACAATGTCTAACCTCTGTTTTGGTTCCAATTGTGTGCATCTCCAAGCAGTTTAACATCATATGTATAGCCTTCCTCCTGGCCAAAGTAATCGTCAGTGCTGAACACGATGCCATCTGGACACTGGTCAAGCAGACCACTGTTGAATATAAAAAAACAAATATACTGTTAAATATGATTCCTGGGATTTCTCTTTTTTATTTAGGTAATATTTTACTCCTTGACAGCCTCTAAGTAAATTACATGTATAATATACTGATTATCTGGCTAAAATGACTTCAGATTATTAAAGGAACACTATAGTCACCTAAATTACTTCAGCTAAATAAAGCAGTTTTAGTGTATAGATCATTCCCCTTCAATTTCACTGCTCAATTCACTGTCATTTAGGAATTAAATCACTTTGTTTCTGTTTATGCAGCCCTAGCCACACCTCCCCTGGCTATGATTGACAGAGCCTGCATGAAAAAAAAAACTGGTTTCACTTTTAAACAGATGTAATTTACCTTAAATAATTGTATCTCAATCTCTAAATTGAACTTTAATCACATACAGGAGGCTTTTGCCGGGTCTAGCAAGCTATTAACATAGCAGGGGATAAGAAAATCTTAATTAAACAGAACTTGCAATAAAGAAAGCCTAAATAGGGCTCTCTTTACATGAAGTTGTTATGGAAGGCTGTGCAAGTCACATACAGGGAGGTGTGACTAGGGTTCATAAACAAAGGGATTTAACTCCTAAATGGCAGAGGATTGAGCAGTGAGGCTGCAGGGGCATGTTCTATACACCAAAACTGCTTCATTAAGCTAAAGTTGTTCAGGTGACTATAGTGTCCCTTTAAAGGTGAATTACTTATGGACAATCAAGAGAGAGTTTTTTCCATCTTTTGCTTTCAACTTTGCAAACAGATTGTCAAACAATGTTTAGTAAATAAAACCCCAAGGAGATGAATCCCACAGTTTATATGGCTAAATTAATTTGATGTTCAAATAAGCTCAGTGACCCATTTTTCACTGTAACATACTAGATTCTTCCCAGTGTCAGAGAGGTCTTGTTGCTCTGTAGAAAGCAGTGATGTTATAGAAACAATTTAGATTGGGCTGCTGCCACCCCAATAGGATGTACCCATGCCTCACAACACAACGTATTTTGGCAGGACAGTTGTCTCCTGACCCAGAAACCCAAATTTGTTCTCTAGTGTTCTACTGTTGGGAACATCAGAAAATTGTCTCCAGAAAGGGCATCATGAGCGAACAATAGATGTGCTCACACTACACTTAGGGCACTAGGATCCTGCAGAGAGCACTAAAATAGGCTGCTACATGTGCCGGCTTGGATGATTGACAGGTGGTCTGGCGTGCATTCATGCCAGGCTAACCTGTCAATCTTTCTAGCAGACCAATCCTCTTTTTGTGATGGTCTCCTCCGATCAGTGGTGCCCGTAATATGTTTGCACCATTCAGGGGGCACCAATGTAGGAAGGTATGATGGGCCCGCTCCAGGCATTAGGGACCTAATTAAATAGCATGTGGGCTCATATTATAAAGATAAGGGGGGTGGGGGGGGGGAAAAAAATCACACGCTGAAAAAAATCCCCCATCCTGTAGCTTTCAGCAGTAGTGGAGGACCCAGAGCTGCATTAAAGGTAAGTTTTAATCTATTTTAGAATGTTTCTTTTTAATAGGTGACAAGTAACAAATGCCCCAAAAACAAAAAAGATTTGGCGTAACCCTTTAATGAAATGGTTTTGGTGCAAAGACCCAGTCCTTGCAGTCTGACCATGTCAAATGTTACCCTTACAGAATAACAACAATGTAGCTGTCCTACTGATAGCCACTAGCACAGCATGATGCCAACAAACTTATTTTTACCATAGCTACTATTTGTCATGGTGTAATACCCCAACACGCAGAGTTTAGGATAGCAAGTGACAAGACTAGGATATAACATATTACCGGGCCTTAGAATGGCCGGACTAATTCTTCTTGACCTCTCTCCTGCCTTTGACACTGCTGACCATGTTCTCTTTCTCCAAACTCTTCAATCACTCAGGCTCTGTGACACTGTCCTCTCTTGGTTTTCCTCCTACCTCTCCCAACATTCATTCAGTGAGTCCTTTTCTAATGATACCTCCTCCCTTTGCCCTGTCCCTGTTGGAGTCCCCCAAGGCTCTGTCCTTGGTCCTCTTCTATTTTCTCTTTATACTGCCTCTCTTAGCAAACTTATTACCTCGTTTGGATTCCAATACCACCTGTACGCTGATGACACTCAGATATATCTCTCTTCCCGGGACCTCTCCCCTGCAATCCTGCAACGTGTCACTGCTTGCCTTTCTTCCATCTCTGACTGGATGTCCTCCCGCTTTTTGAAACTCAATCTCTCTAAAACTGAACTCCTTGTCTTAATACTGACCAATTCTAGCCCCTCCTATATCTCTTCACTGATCCGCAGGTATACTCCTTCACGGTCTCTCCACTCTGTCCATGACCTTCTCCTGTCTGCTGCTTGCACCCGTACGGCCAACTCACACTTGAGGATTTCTTGCGGGTGACACCTTTCCTTTGGAATAGCCTGCCTACCACCATCAGACTCTCCAATCATTTAAAAGTGCCTCAAAACCCATCTCTTTAGGAAAGCTTATGGCCTCCCAGAGTAACCTCTACTTCACGTACCGGTCTTTTGCTCACTCCTAAACAGCAGCACTCTATTCTCTCCTCCAGCTCTGCTTCACTCCACCTTGTTTGATTGCTACCTCCTGTCCTGTTGTGTTTTACGCCCCACCTCCTATAAACTGTGAGCTCGTTTGAGCAGGGCCCTCTTCAACTTATTGTTCCTGTAAGTTTTTGTAATTGTCTCATTTATTGTTAAATCTCCCCTTTGATAATATTGTAAAGCACTATGGAATATGCTAGCCCTATATAAATACCAGTAATAATAATAATAATAAAGCATAATCAGAGACGAGACAAGGTCAGGGTAATGGAGAGACAGAGAAAATGAGAACTAGCCAGAGTCAGGTACACAGTAATCAGTCAGACGGGCAAACAAGACAGGAAAGGGTTAAAGATAAACTCAGAGTCAGGAATAAAGCCAAGGTCAGTACCAGAATAAACACAATAGATCAAGGAATGCACTAAAGGGTACTGAAACAGAAACCACGATAGGGCAAAGTGGACATGGCTAGGGAAGTTTAAATATCCTTTAATTAACATTTGATTGGCCCACATCATGCCCTCGCCCCCAAAATGTGCGTGTGTGGGGGTGCCGGAATGACGTTGGCCAATGGGAGCCTGAATCCACCTGTGGCTCCCACTGCCCCTTTAAGAGCGTGCTCGTGACACGAGCCGCGCTCCTAGTGCCAGGAGCGCGGCTCGTGTCCTCTCACTGCGTTAAGTGCACGCGGCCCACTCAGAAGAGGAGATGAGGATCCCGCCACACTATTGCACCATATAATAGGCAGGCTTGGTTTTACAGCATCCCCTTTCTAAAATAAAAGTCAAAAAGTTATTCCTCTTACCTCAACAACTGTCAACTATGTATCTGCACTAAACTTTACAGGTGTCTTTCTAACTTTAATTTTTAATGCATTACCTATATACTGCATTAAAAATAGGGTAATTTAATCCCATAGTTTCCCTTTCTAAAGTAATGTGTTGAGGAGCAAGACTCAATTAGAATGGAGTGTCTTTATTTATACAGGCAAATCAGTTAGTCCTATCATTTTTGCGAGTTAAGATTCATCATTAAGGGGCATTGACATTATAGCAAGTGAAACAGATTCTCAGAAAAGTTCAAAGATGTTTTAAATATACGTACCGTGCCAATGTACTTTTTCCAGAGCCAGGGACACCTCTTAAAAGAACAAGTGTTCTTTTGTACCTATCAAAAGGCTTAATATTATAATCCTTATTCAGATGTGGTTCACTAAACGTCCGAAGGGCATGGTGTAATAAAGTATCTTTTGATCTACAGATATCGCCTCCATATTCTTTGTGCTTGCTTTCAATATCATGCTCACGGAATGGCTGTCTAAAGCTGCCCCATTGATCATTATACTTGTTCTGGGAAGAAGGCATTTCATTTTGTTCATCTGGACTCTGATACTTGTCATTGCATCCATAATGGTTCTGTTTTTGAGGGTATGGTACATATGGTTTATTATTTTGGCTTGGGAAATTTGATGTATAATTATATTCTCCTCGAGGTGGTCCACGGGAGTCAGATAAAGAAAACCTTGGTGGTATAGCATTGTTTAAAAAAGGAGAATTATTTGTTCTGTTGGACTCTTCATGTTCTCGCCATACAGTTTCTCTATTATAGGAGATTTGGTTATGAGGGATGACACTATATTCCTCTTGTGAAGACGGGGCATTATTGTAGGCAGTTGTTGAGTAGAAAGATTCCTGAATATTTTTTGAACTGTATTCATTTTCCCTCACATTTTTATTTTGAGGTGGTGGGCTAAAGGGTCTAGATAAACACGGAGGTGGTTGGTCAGGGAATCCTGGTGGCATTCTACTATATAAGAAAGGAGGGTTTATAGTTCTGTTGGACATATTGTGTTCTCTCCATTCTGTCTGTCTGTTAAAGGTTTGTTTATTTTGTGGGCCGAAGCCACTGCTGTGAGGATGACTTGTTCTGGAGAAAGGTTCCTGATTCACACCACAAACCTTGGCTTCATTTTCCTTAATTGGTACATTTTGTGACTCCAGGACATGAAACCTTGGTGGCACTGTATTGTTTAAAAAAGGATTATTGCTTGTTATATTGGACCTATTAGGATCACAACAGACAGTCTGTGTGTTAAAAGAGGTGGTGTTTTTATGAGTGTGGACAGTGTGTACATCTTGTGAAGATGGAGTGTTGTAAGTAGGACTACTTGTCATGCAAACAGGCTCCTGAATAGTGTTTGAAAACGTGCATTTATTTTCCTGAACGTCAACAGTTTCTGTTTCATCTTCCAGTTGATGTAATTCCTTGTAAAACTGCCGCAACTCATAGTCCATGCCATTGTCACCTTTAGAATTGGTGGCTTTCCGCAACTCAACTGTTTTTATCTTATAAGGAGGTACAGTACTGTCCTTACTACTAGACCTTTGAGAAGCATTTTTAACTTTCGGAGGAGGAAAGAGCGGCCCAATAAACGTACTGCTCGTTAATGAAAATGTAGCACTAGAAACCGGGCAATTTTTGCTTGTGTCAGTTTCAGTAAAAGCACATTTAAATAAGTGGTCATCAGGTTCATCTTTTCCACTATTAGAGTTGCATTCCCCAGATTCTAAATCATAAATCCCTCTGGACCTAGCCACCAAAGTGCCAGCATCATTTGGGGGGTCTCTGACAGTAGAACTTTTATTTCCAACATATTTTTCCTCAAACTTACCCTTGTTAGAGAGAGGAAAACAACTATTGCCATTTGGTTTTATTTTGCGCTTTTCAGTCAGAGAGTGTCCAGTGATATTTTGATCTGTCCATGGCGCGTAGTCATTGGGTCTGCTCTTTTTCACACAAGGTTCAGAGGAACCATGCTCAAACCGAGATGCAGGCTTTTCAACATGAGGCATCTATAAAAAGTATATACAAATGTATGTTTATATAAAATAAAAAGAAAACAATTGGTCTTACAATAGACATATTTCACTGACCAAAAAAAATACACTTGAAATTTTATTTCACAAATATTGAATCCAGCAAGAACACCCAAAGCCATCAAAACTTCACAGGAGGTTTTGTTTTATGTAAGTGGTGTGTTTGTTTTATTTATTTTTTTAAATTAAGTTTTCCAGTCATCAGTTTCAATTATTTCTTGGTCTAACTTGGTCTCTAATACTTATTAGATGATCTTATTGATGATCTATCAGCAGACACTCTGTAAATGTATGTGTTCTATGTACATGCTAAAGTTTATATAGACTGAATTGTGGGTTTTACTTATTCTGAGATCTGTGTAGAAAGGAGGGTCAATGGATTTTTCAACCAGCAGTTATTTAAAATGAAAACTACATGTTCCTTACTACAGTAAGTCTTAAGAAATTTTCAGAATTCTTTTGCTTCATAAAAATAAGCCAATATGTAAAAGTTATATTCATGTCAGTTTTTCATATTAGGATTTTTTGGATTTTATGCAATTGTAATTATGAAGTACATTATAGAAGTAAACACTTTAAATCCAATACAACGCCGAAAATAAAATGTTTGTTTTCTGTCATTTGCTTTGTTATTGCTTTTAATGATATCCACTTAAAACTGAATTCAAATCGGGAATGGTTACTAATTAATATACATGACATATTGACTGAATGGACATCTGGATTCTTGTACACTCATTATCTTTGTGATACAAAAACAATAAATAACTGCTCGAAGTGCTGGTTATGTTGCTTTAGTTGTCTGGGCATAGTCCACAGTTTTATATCAAACTGTTAGGATCGGTTTCACAAAAATAGGGCATTTTACTGGCACCACACTATTCATCCACACGGATAATGCAGAATTTGAACTGTGCTAACACGCCCTTAGAACCCCCAAAAACTGGGGCAGTTTCCATATAGCATGGGTGTGTAGTTTTTAAAACTGCTCCTAAAAGGTTTGAAATAAACCCAAGACACAATGTCCAAAGACTCTAAGCATCATAATCAATACACTGTGTTGCCTGTGCTGTAGTGGTCATGGCACTTAGAGTGCCCTCTTTAAAAAAAAATTATATATATATATATATATACACACACATATATACATATATATATACACACATACACACACTGTGACAAACTCCCCTTCCCATGTGAGTTTGCCACGAGCTCTTGGAGGAGCTTGCTTGCCAGAATCCTGCCCACAGACTATGGGCCCTGCAGGGAAACCTGTAAAAGACTAGGTAACTGACTTTGTTCGTGCCCTCTCTAATTTGTTCGGGAACTGAAGTCTTGTAAGGACTAGAGCTCCCAGGACTGAGTGTCGTCCAGTACCTGGGGCAGCGGTGTGTTTACCGCGAAGCTGGCAAGGCATTTGCCTTGGGCAGCACTTTCAGGGGGGCGGCAAAAAAAGCCGCCCCCAAACGCCCTCTTGTCCTGGGGAGATCTGGAGCTGGCCGGGTAGCCATCTCTGGCCCCCCCCCCGGCTGGCATGGGCTGATGTGGGAGGCGGTCAGCGAGGGAGCACTCTGAGCTCTTTCCTGCTCAGCTCCCTCGCGTGCACCGCAGTGATGCTGGAGCCGGAATATGATGTCAATGTAAGCAAATAATAAAACAAAAAAATTGTGAATGTGTTAGTGTGTGTGTTTGTTAGTGTGGGTCAGTTAGTGTATGTCTGATAGTGAGAGTGAGTATGTGTTCTAGTGTGAGTGTGTGTGTCTGTTAGTGAGTGTGTGTCTGTTGGTGAGTGATAGTATGTCTGTTAATGACAGTGTATGTGCCAAAGAGTGTGTGTATGTCTGTCAGTGTGTGTATGCGTGTCTGTCACTGAGAGTGTGTATTTGTCAATGTGTATGTCTGTTAGCAAATGTGTTTCTCTGACACTGTGTATATGTGTCTGTCAGTGAGTGTGTATGTGTGTCTGACACTGAGTGTGTGTATCTGTCAGTGAAAGCGTGTGTCAGTTAGTGTGTCTGTCGGTGAATGTGAGTTTGCGTGTGTCAGTGAATGTGTATGTTTCAGTGAAAGTGTGTGTTGGTTAAACAGTGTGTGTGACAATGACTGTATCTGTCAGTCTATGCATTAGTGAAGGAGTGTGTACCTTTAGGCAAAGAGCGTGTTGGTTTTTAACATGAAGTGAAATTTAGAAGAGGGTGGGGGGTTGTCTGAGTTTTGTCATGCCTAGGGCAGCACAAAACCAGAATACACCACTGGCCTGGGGGTGGATAGAGTGACTTTCCCATTCGGCTCCAGGGCCCCAGTCAAGCCACTGCGACTGTGGGCAGAGGTGCTGCGGTTTGTCCCCTGTTCTAGCTAGGAAGCGGTCCTTGTCAGAGGTACCCAGCCAGGGGTACACGGAGCTCTGTTACACATACAAACACAAAGTATATTGCACTGCAATAAACAAAAGTAAAAAATAAAAATAAAAACAAGTTTGTTGAAGACAAAAAAACCAGATCTGATGAAGACTACTTCAGTCCTGAAACTCTGAGTTACCAAAAATATGAATGTCAGGTCTCTATGTCACCTAGAAAATGGATCCTACCTCTATGGTTTTACTATGCACAAAAGTGCAGTGGTTGTGAATAGCACTGTATTTGTCCCCAATATTGCTACCTGTTAACTTATTTAGAAAAGCAAATCTATTACTTTCCTGAGAATCCTGTAAAGACATCTGTTATAAACGGGACGAGTAAATTATACTGTCACATGGCAGTTTATTCCCACCAAACAGCAACTGAAATTCAGTTAGAAAAGCAGGTTGCCCAGTGCATAGACAGATCAATACTGCAGGGCCATTAGCGCAGATGGTGGTCGCTGTATGTGTTGGGTCATGTCTGTGATGTGAGAACTGTCTTTAATGTGGGTGAACGACTGGTGACATTTGGCTCTAAGAACAAGACTAAATTTCTCAACCCTGGATTAAACACAAATCATTGTATATATATTATGAGGTATCCTGTATTAAAACACAAATCATTGTGTGTGTGTGTGTGTGTGTGTGTGTGTGTATGTATGTATATATGACGTATCTTGGATTAAACACAAATCATTGTATATATGAGGTATCCTGGATTAAACACAAATCATTATATATATGAGGTATCCTGTACAGGGCCGCCATCAGGGGGTGACAACCACAACGGTTGTCAAGGGCCCAGGGGCCCGCACGTTGATGGGGCCCATCGGGTGGCCAATGCACTTAGGGCCACCCGATGGGCCCTATATCTTCAGGGGCCCGGTCAGCGCTGTGGCCGTGTAATTGCTAACCCGGTTAAAAAAAGCAGCCACAGCTCACTCCGCACGGCAGTGAGAGAGAGCCATGCCGACTACTCCCATCAGCTCCAGCCACCCTCCTGCAAAGAAAAGGTAACAGGAGGGTGGCTGGAAAATGTGCTCTGTGTGTGTGTGTGTGTGTGTGTGTGTATGTCTGTCTGCATGCATGTCTGTCTATATGTATGTCTGTATGTCATTATGAATGTATGTCTGTCAGTATGTATGTCTGTATGTATGTATCAATGTATATTATGTATGTCTGTCAGTATGTATGTATATATGTCTGTATGTATGCCAGTATCAATGTATGTCTGTATGTATGTGATATATAAATGTATGTATGTATGCCAGTATCAATGTATGTCTGTATGTCTATATATATATATATATATATATATATATATATCTGTATGTCAGTATGAATGTATGTCTGCATATCATTATGAACGTATGTCTGTGTGTATGGATGTCTGTATGCATGTATGTATGTCTGTCAGTATGTATGTCTGCCTGTCTGTATGCCATCATGAATGTATGTGTGTATGGATGTCAGAGTCTGTATGCCATTATGAATGTATGTATGTCAGTGTCTGTATGTCTGTCAGTATGTATGAATGTATGTGTGTGTGTGTGTGTGTGTATGTATGTCGGTGGCTGTATGTATGTGTCTTTATGTCCTCATGCATGTGTGTCTGTATGTATGTTAGTATGTGTCTGTCTGTCACTATGTATGCCTGTGTGTCTGTATGTCAGTATGTATGCTTGTAAGTATCTGTGTCCTTTTGTATCAGTGTGTGTGTATCTGTGGCCAGTATTTGGAGGCGGGCCTTGTGGGCGGTATTTGGAGGCGGGCCCTAGGGGTCCCAGACCCTGAGCTGAGTTAGGGGCCCCAAAATTTCTGGTGGCGACCCTGATCCTGTATTAAATACAAATCATTATATATATATATGAGGTATCCTGTATTAAATACAAATCATTATATATATATATATATTATCCTGTATTAAACACAAATCATTGTATATTAAAACACAAATCATAGTATATATTAGGTTTCCTGGATTCAATACAATTCATAGTACATAGGAGGTCTGTATATGAAAACTGACACTAGAACTTCACATTTTACCATAAAAGAAAGAACAAACATAGTTGTAAATTTTACATATTTAAGATGTGAGGGTAAGTATATAAGATGTGCCAATTTGTTCTATGTCTAACAACAAAGTGACACCCGGACACCCCGAACTGCTGGACACATTGTAACCACCTAGCTCCATGCAGGAAGTACAGTATGTATGTTTACTTTTTTTAGGTAACATGCACCAATCTGTGTGAATGTCATTAAATTCAGTGACAGTGGGCCAGTGTGTGTGTATAAATACTGACATGTTAACATGTTACAGGTCTATCAGTAATGTGCCCTGTGTTCCCCTTTCTAATTCCCCCCCAGATATATATATATATATAAAATAAAATAAAATAAAACACACACCCCCTCCTCCCCTATCCCCCATGGCTGTGAATGGCACATGTCCTATAACCGCAGGAAGCCAGCCATAGTCACCCTAACAGACACACACAGTGATACCTACCTCCAAGGACAGGTCTAGGGCTAAGCCCCGGAACCGAAACCAGACCCAGAAAGAAAGCCAGGCCTAAGCAGCCATTTACACGAGTCGCCACGTGACGTTGCTAAGCTGCGCCAGCCGAAGCGCATGCCGGGAGACGTAGTTTCGGATCCCCTTCCCTGGACTGCTTGCTCATTGAGTGCAGGGACATGGAGCACTGCCACTGTGTGTGTGATTGTGCTGTCTGCATGTTGGTTTCTATTCAGTGTCACTGAGCCTTAGTATTTTATCAAACCTTGTGTTGTATTAATCTGGGACAAACAATAATGGTGTTTTAAAGATCTAATTGTGTGTGTGTGTTTTGTAATAATGATCCCATTTTGTCTGTGTTTTATAATAATGTCATTCTATTATAAGAGTTAAGGCTTATCTTTTAAAATAGATAAAGGTGAGGTTGAGTGCATGTGAGTCTGTGGACGTGTTTGTGCATGTGTGTTTTTATGTCCATGTGTATCTGTCAGTTCCCAGATAATTTATTTTCGGGAAAACAGTCACACAAAGTATGTTTCCTTCTAAAATAATCATTATCTCATCGAAAAACCTAAAGGTAATTTCCACTCTGTACCTGTGTGTCATAAAAAGCTTTTTATTTCTCTCATACACAAGTTGTACATTGAATTGTAAAACGTATTTTGTCAGTAATTTATTAATATCATTTTGGAATATGTCCTTTGCTTCCTTTTGGTATTGTGTGTTTGTGTCTTCCTGTGTGTGACAATTTGCATCTGTATCTGTGTGCGACAATGTATGTGTATATGTGAATAAACATATGCATGCAAACACCAACATTGCACACAAACAAACCCCTGCATTTAAACACTAACACCGCACAGACACAGCCCTGCATTCAAACACTACACCCAAACACCTCCTTGCATGCAAACATCATCACTGTACTACAAAAACACCGCTGCGTTCAGTCACTAACTGTAGAAAAAACACACTCAGCATGCAAGCACTAACACTATAAATATACCCCTGATTTAAAACATAAGCATTATGGGGGGCAGAGCTTAACCGCCATGCGGAGCAGTCGCAAGCACCCAGAGCTCCCACCAAACAGCTGACTTTAAGCTTTCCTTACCCCGACCCAGACAAGCTAAATGGGTCCCACGCTCACTCACTCCACAGAGCTACTGGTGGGAACTGGACAGAGGCATCACAGGCTCCCAGGAGACACTAGCCAAGGCAGGTCCGACTTGCGGCCTAGCGGTTGATGCAGTGCTGGGGACGCGGCCGGTCCTCCAGTCCCGAAGTCCTGCAGACGCAGAACCTCTCCCCCCCCTTGGACCACTGGGGGTCACCACGGTCCACCATGGCACCCCTACAAGCCCGAACCCCTTCAAACAAGCCCTGCCGGACGGGCGCGGGTGGGCGGGAGGAAGCAGCAGCACTCCGCTCACTTAAAATGGCGGCGGGCAGAACCGGGAAGACCCCTATCGCCAACGCCGCCTTACACTACGCAGGAGCAAGCTGCTAGGAAGCAGAGACAGACCCTGTACTGCATCGGAGAACCGGTAGCTGGAAAGGTCAGTGGCAACATCCCACAGCCACAACCCTGATGGAGACAGGGCAGGGGAGACAACCACACGACAAGCGCCGACGCACAGCATGCCAAGGCAGCCAAGATACCTGGCGACACCCTGTTCCGGCCCCATCCTAGCCCACACCCGGGACTCAAAGACCCTGCCTCACGATACCTACCTGGCATGAACCGACCCTGGGACTAAACACAACCCGGAGAGCACCCACCACTCTTTACCCAGCTGCAACCCCCACGCCATTTATCACCTCTACCCGCGCTGACGGGGCCCACCTGGCGTGTAGCCGACCCAGACCAACGGTGCTATGGTTACCACACACAATCAGGACTCTAACTATACACAACTCTTATCACTCATGAATATCAGGCATGTTTATATAGAAGCCTAATTATCTGCATAGCAAGCCTGTTTCTGTATAAAAAGTGTGTCAAGCGATAATAATCCAAAAATGTGCAAAGTTTTTCAAGCGTGCTTTGACATCCACTAATCTTTAGTAATCTAAGGCAACACAGTTAGAAATCATCTATGTTCAACCTGTTCTTAGTAAGCCTGTTTATGTACAATGTATGTGTCAAGCGATAATAATCTAAAACAAAAAAGTGCAAAGTTTTTTCCACTGCCTACCTAATGCAAATCTTTGTTTGACTCTGCATGCCCTGGCTGTTGTGGCTTGGTGTGCTATATGTGATTTTTATTGCACAAATAAAATAAAGAATTAAAAAAACAAAACATAAGCATTATGCACAAATACAGTTATTCGCATATACAAAAACATGCCTACCTTCACACACAGGCATTGCATATAAATACAACCCGACTAGGATGCGCAAATTGTAGAGCCACAGTTTGAGAAGCATCAAGGGAGTTGTACGGCAGATGAGGAAATCAGAAGTTTGTCTTCCGCATTAGAAATATTAAATTCACCCCTATTTGGAGAAAATTCATTGGATGAGAGCATCAGCTGACCCTCTCAATTAGTAATCTTTGTCTAAAGATGGGTGGAATTGCCCCCAAAAATTGGGGGGGAAACCTTTTTAGTGCATGTATTCAATTGTGCATATTATCACTCAGAGGATATCTGAAACACTTTTTTTTCATTGGGGATATATCTAAAAACCTTTGTCTGCAGCCTTTGCAAGCCCCCCTCTTCTTTTTTCCCCATTGTTTATTTAACCTTGAGCAACAGGTAAATCAGTGTACAATGACAGTGAACAATAGTGCAAAACATTCAATAAAAAAGCACAAGGTATCATTAGTAGAATACATCAGGAATTTAACAATTGTGACATTATAACCCGTGCTACTAGCAGAAAGTTGAGCAACAATGATAACATTCTTCTGAAATTGCGAAGCACACATGTTCCAAGAAATAGGCTAAACGTTTTGTAGGTTGTAAACAAAGGAGGTTTTTTTTTTGTGTTACATTATAGGGATATTCACATCAGGAGTTTGAAAGAAAAAAAAAAAAGAAATTGGTCACTGCCGAAAGAAAGACAAGGTGTCACTCGGACCTCCAATGCACGCTTGTGCATGGCAAGCCCTCCTCTTCTAACCCAGCCTACACGTTCTATGGTTGTCCAAATACTGACTTTGCTTTTTTTTATGTACTCTTTATTGAGTTGTTTTTTTTTCTTTAACCCCTTAAGGACCAAACTTCTGGAATAAAAGGGAATCAGGACATGTCACACATGTCATGTGTCCTTAAGGGGTTAAACAAATTCCCAACAATCCATACACCTGTACTCATATAGTCCACCCATTGTACAGCGCTATGGAATTTTGCTGGCGCTATATAAATAATAAAATAATAATAATATACACAAACAATACTCAATATGTTATTGTTTTACTTAACATATTGTTACACCCATACAAGACAAGACAAGTTACGGACCACAGGAAGGACATATCCTGATAAATGAAGGTGAATGGAAAAAAACATGGAAATATTATTGTTTTTGAAGATACTCCCACCACTTTTGAGCATCATTGCTTTTGGTGATGGCAGAAGGGTTTATCCATCTTAAGCCTTTGACCATTTGGAGTTGATATGGGACTTTTCAGTTGTAACCACTAACCAGGTTATAGGGATAGTTTCTCTCCAGTTTTTAACTATTAAAATCTTTGTAGCAGAAAAAAAAAAGTGTGTAATTATCACTGTTTCCAAGTTGGAAACTCTGTACCAATTTATTGGAGCAAAGTGGTTTCTGGTCTTTTTTCTAGTTTAAAGGACCACTATAGTCACCCAGACCACTTCAGCTCAATGAAGTGGTCTGGGTGCCAGGTCCCTCAGGTTTTAACCCTTCAGATGCAAACAGTTTACATTTGGGGTTAAAGGACCACTATTGGCACCCCGACCACTTCAGCTTAATGAAGTGGTCTGGGTGCCAGGTCCAGCTAGGGTTAACCCTTTTTTCTATAAACATAGCAGTTTCAGAGAAACTGCTATGTTTATAAATGGGTTAATCCAGCCTCTAGTGGCTGTCTCATTGACACTGGAGGCTCACTTCCTGTGTGATTTCACAGTGAGAAGACGCTAGCGTCCATAGGAAAGCATTGTGGGCTCTATGAGACTGGCTGAATGCGCCTTGAGAACACGGCATGCGCATTCAGCCGAGGAGGAGGAGAGCTTCCTGCCCGGCGCTGGAGAAAGAGGTAAGTTTAACCCCTTCCACCCCCTAGAGCCCGGCAGGAGGGGGACCCTGAGGGTGGGGGCACCCTCAGGGCACTATAGTGCCAGGAAAACGAGTATTTTTTCCTGGCACTATAGTGGTCCTTTAAGCCAGCCTCTAGTGGCTGTCTTCCGGACAGCCACTAGAGGCACATCTGCGACGCTGGAGGCACATTTCTCCTCCATCACGCAGAGCGTCCATAGGAAAGCATTGAGAAATGCTTTCCTATGGTCACTTTGAATGCGTGTGCGGCACTTGCCTCGCATGTGCACTCGGCTCCGCTAACGTCAGACGGGGGACCTGACGTCAGGGGGGGTGGAGAGATCACCATCGCTGAGGGAGCCCTGCGCTGGATTAAGGTAAGTAACTAAAGGAGTTTTAACCCCTTCAGCGCCATGGGAGGGGGACCCTGGGCACTATAGTGTCAGGAAAACCGCTTTGTTTTCCTGACACTATAGTGATCCTTTAAGTTTAGTAAATAATTTCAATTTATCAAAGACCAGTAGCCTTAAGAGTTTAATTAGATCACACTCCCACCAAATGTGCAAAAGAGAACCTTCCTTGGTTCCACACCCCCAGTATCTATTAGAATAGAGGAATACATGACTGCAAGTTTTGAAGGAACTAGATACCACCTATGCATAAATTTGAATTAAACTTCAATGATGTTCATACAATGTATCAGATTGTTGGTTAAATGATCACTATAGGGTCAGGAACACAGGCATGCATTCCTGACCCTATAGTGCTAAACTCACCATTTAGGTGACTTGCCCCCCCCCCCTTAACCTCCCTATAAAAGTATAAAACTCACCTTATTTTCAGCGTTGCGCAGGTCT